AGAATGTGCCCCCGCTCACGACTCGCCGCCGCCCACCGCCGGTCGATCAGAGGTGCCCAGTAATGAACTCGACCGTCCACGCACCCCCACCTGCCTCTCGGCGCTCTCGGCTCGTCAAGGACGACACGACTCTGCTGCCGAGACTGAGGAGAGGGCGTACCGCGCGCACGACCGCGCCGCCCCCGCTGCGGCACTGCTCTACATTACTGAGAGGGCTCCATCGAAACACCACCTCGGGACAGCGCGGAAACAGCAGTCGTGACGTCCAGCCCGGTAACCTCGAATCCGGCGCCGCCTCCGCCCGCTCCCTCCTCTCCACTCGCTCCTTCCCTCTCCCTGTCTCCCTTCACCGCCATCACGTCGCCATCCCGTCATCGCCGAATGATCACCTGCGTCTTATCACGATTCGGCCCTGCCCGATCGCCAATCCGTCCAGATCAGCCGTCCCCCTGCCACCATCCGTCCTCCCCTCCCCAGCCGAGTGGCACGCACGTGGCCGCTCAGAGATTTGGGACGGACCGATGGACGGACGGGCGAACCCTTCGGCCGTTCGACAGGTGGACAAACAAGTGTTGTGACGGCGGCGGCGGGGCCGGCCCGCGGGCGCCGCCGCCGGTGACGGCCGTCCCAGCGGCCGCTCGGGCGCCGCCGGGCCGTCATCAGCGACCGCCCGTCACCACCCGGGGCCCTGTCGGCGGCGGCTGCCGGGACGGAGAGCACACCTGTCAGCGCTGACTGCCGCGGCCCGCAGACCGCCCAGGGGCAAGGCCGCGCGGTCCGGCGCGCCAGCGAGCCGGCAGATGCCCGGTATGCGGGGATCCGGGAGAAAGGATCCCGGCGTCGCTGGTTAAATACAGCGACAGCCCAGCTGCCGGAGCGGTGGTATCGGCCATGGTCAGAGGCAGGCATCGGAGGAGGACGGGGGCGGGGCTGCAGAGCGACAGTGGCAGTTTGGTGCTCATACGGCACCTGCCGGCAGCTGTCACGGAGAGGGAGCTCGACAGTGTCCGATCTGTCCTCGGCTGGGGGCGGGAGCGGCCCGACCGTCCAAAAGTAGCCGCCCGCCGCGCCCTGCTGACGGTTACGGCTCCTCGTAAAACGATTCCGGTATGGAACGGCATTGACACGGCCGTCCTTGAAGTCAGGAGTCTGAGGTCGCTGGCTGGCAGCCGTTACCGCCTGAATGTCGACATCTTCCCACTTATCCAGCGCCGTTTTGTTCATCGTGAGAGTATATGAGGTCCGCGGCTCGGCGCCGTACGGATTTCACCGCAGAATGGTCCGCACTTCTGACGAGGTCCCCGGACGCCAGCGGCCCTGAGTTTTCTTTTCTTGCGCGACTCACCAGCGACGATAACTTGTCTGGCATAAACCCGGTCGCTAATTAATGATGATGAGCGGTTGCGCGCCGGGCGACGCTGACACGGACTCTGCTAATCGCGGCTAATGGGTGCCACTCGGCTCTAACAGCCCCCAGTCTCATTAGCTGAGGTGCAATTTGGTCGGCGGTGCTGCCGGCCCGCTCTGGTTTGGCGCCATTACCGTCCGGAGCTGGCCGGTCTCGTGGCGACCCCGGGCGATAGCAGCAGCCACAGCAGCAGCCCGTGCGCTGAACCCGTGCTGGCCCCGTGGTCACGTGGGTTCCAGAACGAGCGGCCAGTGCGCTGACCCCTTGATCACGTGGTGTTCTCGAGCTTAGCGGGTGCACTGGTCGCTACAGTGGTCAGTTCCAGAACTGTTGTTGAGTAAAGAAGAATGCGGACTGAACGGACATTTGGAGTTCCGGAATGGTCATCTTCTCAACATGATGAGAACTCATCATCGAAATAGTTTCTTATATTGCACCGATGATGCTTGAAAATGAAGACGTTCGTTTTCCTAACTGCGCATGACCGCCCGTCCCCGGGTCACGTTGAATCGACGACCGACCGTGTCTGGCTCCGTGACCGGGTCAGGCTGGGGCTGCCACTGGCCTGCGGTTTGTTCCGTGAACGGGTCACGGCGGGGCTCCTACCGGGTCGCAGTGCACCGTTCTGTGGTCAGACTCACGACTAACTCACGGCGACTCCGTGACCGGGTCACGTGATACTCGTGACCGGGTCACGGTCACCAGGGCGCCGGCCGGAGCGCGGTCAGCGGAGGGTGTCTGCAGCGTCCGGTGTTGTTAGGTAGAGGCCGGGCCGGGCCGCGGACCGTTGGGTGCAGAGATATCATCAGCAGTCGGTGTACCGAATACATCATCAGCCGGCCGTCTCGCCTGGCTACCCGTCCATGTACGGTGGTGTGAGGGAGACTGAGAGCGGGGCAGTGCAGGTCAGTACAGGGCGACCCAGGTCACCACATGTTGACAGACATGACTTGAGTGAGGAAAGGGGCAGCGAGCGACCCCGGTCATTGCCGACACACTCGGCTCGTACCAGGGCAGGCATGGGAAAGCGACTGATCACATCACTACTTACCTACACACAGGACTTGAGTGTGGAAAGGGCCAGTGAGCACGAGTGATGTGGAAGGCATGCGGCATGGACAAGCAACAAATTGACATGGATGTTTAATAGTGTTCCGAAAAAAATTGGCTGTCAGAGAATCCAGAAAGAAGAGGTCATGATTAATGACATTGTAGAAGGAATTTGTTGGTTTGTCATCACTAAGTGACTCATCTTTGTCAAAGCATTGATACATGCTGATGCGCTTGGTGGTCGGATCACCACATGCATGAGCTTTCCTCTAATCGTCTATGACTCACTCGGTACAGCTCGATCTTAAACTACGACCTGACTTTTTGTGCTTTACCTGTGTTACAAAATTGACAATATAGGTAAAGGACGCTCCACATTCAACCCAAACATCAAACACCGAATGAGAGCTGGCACCCGATCCAATTTATGCCACCATTCCCCTGAACTACACCGGGGTCCTATCTGAGACGTGCATCTCCGGCGTAATGGCCGTGTCAAAAAAGCGCGCTGTCCCGTCCGGCCGGCTTTTGGGGTCACCTGGTGGTGTGTCCCAGATCGGCACGGCGCCACCTGGGGCCAGTTACGGCGTACGCCGGCCTCTGCGGCCGGGTAATCAGCCGGTACAGATGCAGCGCCGCTCATTACGGGCCTAATGGCCCACCCTTCTCGGACTGACGGAGCGTCCGGGTGGTGATGTTCGGGTACTGGCGTCCGGGTACTGGTACTCGAGTAGCGTCTGTCCTCGGTGAACGGTGCCGGTACTGGTGAACTCAGTTGAGTTGAGTTGAGTTGAGACTGGTGAGCTGCTCGCTGAAGTGATGGGGTGAACGATATCTGGCAAGTTGTGTGATACCTACCGTTTTATCATAGTTTGCGCGGTGACAGATTAAACAGTTCTCTACGCGGAGTCGGCCGTTCAAGTGCTCGTAGAGCTCAGACCGATTTCGGTCCGGTCTTGATCTGGTCCGGTCTGGTCCAGGTCCGAACGGTCTGTTGTGCCGGTTTGGTTAGCCCCTCTCCACCTCTAACTGCCGTCCGGTGACTGGTACAGTCTCACCCCTCTCCGCCTCGGACTCGCGTGCCGTGACTGGTACGGTCTCACCCCTCTCACTGCTCGGCTCATTGGCATTCAGCGTCACGCCGCGCCGCCGCCGACGGTCGGCCGGCGCACGCACAACGCCGCTGCTCGAAGGTGGTGACCTCCTGTAGGGGCGGCCCGCAGTCCCGCTGAGCTCCGCACGGACGGCAGCTCGGTCCGTCGCTCCCAGCTGCCTCCCTGGCAGTCTGCCGCTCCCAGTCTGCCGCTCCCGGCAGTCTCCCAGTCTGCCGCCGCTCCTCTCCGGCCCGGTCCGCAGCAGGCACCGCCGCCGGCTCCTGGGTGTTTTGATGACGATGCGGATGCGGACGAAACTATATTTGGTGATAATAAATTTAATAAATTCGCTCGTAAAATCACGTGCTACTGGTATGGTGGGTGGATACACCCATAACTGGTCATGAATCAAATGGCTCGACTGCCCGGAGAGCCTGCTGGGGAAGTCGGCGGAGCTGCACCTGACCCCTGCATCATGTTGGTGGCGTGCTCAGGCGCCTGATGGGCCTCCTTTGCATATTGTGGTTTTACCGTCCCACTGGGGCACGCTCGGGGCACCAACAAACACAGGCTCACCGCCGCCAGCCGCCGCCTTCCCAGGGAAGTGTACGGTATATGGGGTTATGGCTCCGTCCGGCGCAAGGTGGATACGATACTGCGGAACTCATCTTCCGTTCTTCAGCGTGGAAACGGGCACTCAGCGCTGATCCACATTTAGTTAGACCATTAGCTCCGCATTTGTGGTCTCATTTAGGAAAACATTTGGACTCATTTGGGCTATAATCTAGGCTGAATAGCGAATCGCGGACACGGTATTTGCCCATCCAGCTCGGCGTCAGGTGTCGAACCCTTTCCGGGTGGTGCGGGCGGCCCGTTACACCGCTGACCGGGCGGCCGGTGATGAGGGAGGCGCCGCGCCCGGCCGGCCGACCTCTCCTGCCCGTTCACACCCGCGGGCACCGCCGCCGATCCGTGCACCCGTGGCGTCTGCACGTGCCACGGGGCAGCCGGACCGGCCCGCCTACCTCACGTCCCATAAACAACTGCGGCCGGCCGGGCCGTAACGGGAACGGATGCGGCCGCGGCCGTGCACACGGGCCGTACCGAGTGAGATATTCGCCGGCCGTGAGCTCATGATATCGGCGGAGGCGTAATTATCAGCGCGCTAATGGACGGGCAGGCGAGCACCCGATGGAGTTATAGCCGTCCGTATATTAGCTGCAGCGGTAGCCTCCGTGTGACTGCACGGCTTCCTGATTCGCTCCCACGACCGCTTAGCTCTCATGCCCGTGTAGCTTGTGCTTGTCGTACTAAAACGCTACCACTGAATAAACATGGCTCGGAGTATGTTGTTAGTTTTGTTTTAGTGATATGTATCGCTGACGCCTATTCGTTTATCGATTTAAACCCGAATGTCTGTTTCACCTCATTCTCCTTCTTTTCCGCAGGTGTGTCGTGGTCCGCAGCCGCACATGAGTCGCTCCCAGAGTGGTGAGCGTTCGGCGCCGCCGCCGCAACTGCTGGCCGGATCGCCTCAGACGGGCCACCCGCCATTCTACCAGGCCACGGCCATGTACAAGCCGCCGGCGCAGCGGCACAGCCCCGGCCCCAAGCCGTCGCCGCTGAAGGAGGTGCGCGCTCCGGCGGCGCGCCTCTCGCCGCAGGGCCCTCCGTCGCGGCTCAACAGTCCGCCGGTCAAGCTGTCGCCTCTGATGGCCTCGCCGCTGTCAGCCCAGTCTCCGGCGCACCTCCAGAGCCAGGGCCCGGCTCAGTCCCCGCTGACCTCGCGGCCGCAGACGGCCGCCTCACCGCCCGGTGAGGAGCCGCCGCAGACCCCGCCGGAGCGGGACGTCGGCTACGCCAGCGCCTGGGCAGAGATCCCCAGCCGATCCTACCACGCCAAGGTGGCGAATGTGGCGGCCGAGCGGCCGCTGACGCTGTCGCCGCCGGCCGGACAGTACTGGGCGCAGAGCCAGGGCGTGCGCCAGCCGCGCTGTCAAGTCAGCGTGCCGCTGCAGCCGGCGCCGGCCGGCTCGGCCGGCTCCTCGCTGGAGAGGGAGCCCGCAGAGGCCTGTCAGAGGGACCCCACTCCCGGCGAGTCGGACAAGGAGGCCGTGGAGGAGGCGGCGCCGCTGTCCGCCAAGGAGCGCAAGGCGCGCGAGCAGACGCACGGGGAAACCACCACCGACTGCGGCACGCTCGACAAGAGCTCCTCCGAGAACGACGCCATCATGAGTCGAAAACGGCCGCCGACCAAGCTCAAGTCACGCCGGCGGAACATCCTCAGCTTCCCGCAGCATCTGAACGCGGACGACCTGCGCTGTCAGGTAAGCGCCTTCCGAGAACGGGGTGTGGTGGTGGTGGCATTGGAAACGGCTCCGCTCTCCCGCTTTAATCTCATTCCTTCCTGCTGTGCATCTGACGCGCCTCCTAACACCCGTGGTCACCGCAAATGACTAACTGGCCGCAGAGGCTCATCAGCCGCCGGAATTTCCGGGCCAACCCGGTGTGACACTCACACCGAGCGGCCTCCCCGTGTAATCTGGGCACTCCCCTCGCCGGCCGGGCCGCGGCACCGGACCGGTTACGGGTCGTAGCAGCAGAAGCGGGCCGGCCGGCCGGCTCAGGTCGCAGCCACTGCCGCCACTACCGCCGTCCGCTGCCCGCTGCCCGCTGCATGTCCTACTTGAGGGATTTGCTAGTGTTACGCGGTGAACTGCTCCGGGTCGGTACTCGGTAGTAGCCGCTGGCCGGCACGAGTCGGGCGCGGGCGCAGAGCGCCGCGCCGTGTTTACTCGTCTCTGCCGCGCCGCGAGCGTCGCAACCCGTCCCGCCGGCAGCGGGGCGACCCGGGCCCTGATCGGCGGCCGGCTAGTACTCTTGCCCGCGCTCACATACGTGCACGTTACCCCGGCAACGGGCTATTGACCAATGAGAAGCGAGAAAAGTGTTACGTCACTGCGATTTTTCATATACCTGTGCCCCCCGGACGTGACGTAGTGTGCTCGCGCGCGTGCAGGGTCTCTGCGATCGAAAAAGAGCGCTAGCAGCGCGCCACTCAACGCCGCAATTGTCAAAAGCGGCGTGTTAGTATGCTTTATTATGAATGATGTGTGTAAAAGTGAATTTTTATGTTGTTTATTTGGAGGAAATGGTTGGAATAAATTAAGTCATTTTTATTTCTGTTGGTTGGAGTTTTTATTCAAAAGATTTCGCTCTATACCTACCATTGATATTTACTGAAAATACCTTCGCTTGAATAAATTGCAGATATTTGGCAACTGAAGTGTTAGGTAAGCCTAAATGATATGTAAAAAGGTAAGAGACACCCTGATTATCATTTGAGAAACGAAAATATATGAATTTTCCTTATAATACTCGCTCAATATGCTACTCCGCGGTTTATGCCCCGAGGGTGTCCGAGGGTTCCCGTTAGTTTGTCGTTGGCGCTCGGCTCGCGCGCGAGCCGACGTCACCGCCTGTGACGTCGGCTCGCGAAATACGTCATACCCTGCACACAAAATAGCCGGCTGCCGAACAGCGCTCCGGAGAGAGCCGCAGCGACCCTCTGTGGTACTTACATACAGGCCGGCAGTCGGACCGGGGGCAGGCTGATCGGGCCAGACAGCGGCGCACGGGCTACCGCACTAGCGGAGATCAGATGGAGGGACTGAGCTGAGGGCAGACGGTTGATGTCTGATGGTCTAAGCTCCGTTTATTTCCTTCAATATTGTTGACAAAATGTCTTGCGGCTGTCAGATTACTTGATTTTTGCCATTTAAGCTTAATTTATATGCCGATTTATGAACACTGCTGCCTAATTTGCCTGATAACGCCCAAGTAAATGAACACCGGCAATCACACATTACCCAGCAATAGATCTTCTAATTGCCCAGACGTCGTAAACTGTTAAACTAATTATAATTAATACCGGTAAATACATCGTTACAGGTGGCATGCCATCCATTCGAGAATTACCATCTCTTCTAAATTCCGCCCACCCTTTCAGCTTGGCTATAAACCCAACATCTAATGTAACAGCTTATCCCTCGGGTCTACACTTTGTCCGCCCTTCTCCTGGGATTTTTTTTCCCGACTTTAAAGCGGGCTGACGCCAATATCCTGCCAAGCCACGCCGGCTTCAGCCACAGGCAGGCCAGCACCCTGGCCCCAGGTAGGCTGGGCTCGCCGGGCTCGCCGCTGCCTCAGCCGCCGGGGACGGGCGGAGCGCCGGGACGGACGCCGGGGCGGGCCGGGAGGGCAGCGGGCGTCGCTGCCAGCCAGGGCGGCCGGCCCGCCGGCGGGGCCCGTATTATGCGCGGCGATCCCCATCACTCGCCAAAGTCCTGACATATCAAGGACCGGGCCGCGGGCACCGCCGCCGGCCGGGCAGCGTGCCGCGGTCCACCTGGAGGGGAGGGGAGGGGTGTTTGGACTCGGCTGGGACGCCGGGCCCAGGTGGAATGGGAGGTTTGGGCTCTGAGGGACAACAAGTTTAATCCGCAGTAGGGTGGGGTTGACGACGAACACAGCACCTTTCAGTCTGCTCCGAGACCTGCCGATCTGGGGTATAGTATGCACTATGCGGAAGCCGGAAGCGGATTGAATCGGACTGGGCTGTAATTGGTTCAAGTTAGTGTGAAGCTGGCGCCGAGATCAGAGTGTGGTCTGCTCATTTAGCCCACCGCATCGGAGTCCGATGGGTCCAGAACTCTGGGTTCGAGGCGAAATTGAAAAACCGTCTCTGAGTTCAATATTATTCACACGGTTTGTTGTGGTATGAATGTACCGCATTTGCATAATCAAATCCACCCTTTGCGAGTATTTCACTCACCACCCTGCACCCTGCTGTGAGGATAATCAAGGGCTGGACCACTCCGGAAAGCTGGAATGCCCTCTTTGAATGACGATATCAGTCGGCGAAATATTCCAAAACAATAGGTAATCGCCTGTGAGTCTCGTATGGTCGTGCGCCCGACGTGCGTTTCAATCAGTACTTCAAGGAATCTACGAAGAAGCTGGAATTTACCACGTGCATGCGCCAATCGGCAGGTCCGTACCTACAGCGGGCAGGGTATACCCTGTTGCTCGGAGCCGCACCAGTTGCTGTATCAGCCGACTAGGCCCACTGCTGAGTCACAGTCCCGGAGCGGTCACCCCGTCAGCTCCACCGTGTCCGAGAGAGAGAGAGAGAGAGCGAGTTATACGGGCCCGTGACAGGGCGCCACTTACACCGCCATCAGCGGCCGGCCGGCGGTGTCGTGCACCGGCCGCCGGCCGACCCGATTTGCATGCGGCCGCGCCGGGGTCCGCCGGTCAGTGTGGGTCGCCCCGGGCCCGGCGCCGGCCCGGCACCTTCCCAGCGTGCCCCCGGCACCGGACAGCCGCGCCCGGCCTGAGAAAAGGTCGGGCCCAGCGCGCCCCGGCGTGGGACCGTCTCCCACACTGCGGCCGGCCTCCACGGCAGCCTGCCAGCGAGCAATGAATCGCCGTCACTATCACAACGGCTCCGCCGCATGCAATATGGAGAGCGGTGGCCGGACCTTGACATTAGGCGACGTTTTTTGGCTGGCTGGGCATTGTCTCGGCATGTCGCCGCACCTCAAAACACGGGCGGACAGGTGTTGTTTGTTCTCGTGCGCACGAGTGGTCGCCACGCCCCGCACTGTGCAGATGGAACGCGGATTTTCACATGCTTCTACATGGATGCCAACATTTCACATAACTAAGACTCGGTAAACGTCCTGTAAACACCAATAACAGGTGTTATATATTCACAGACCCGACTGGGATGTGGTAGTCTATGATCCATTCCTTCGTGCACATCTGTCACGGACAAAATTGATAAAATTGAAATATGCACATAATTATTTGCCCTATAACGCCTAATATTTAATCAAGCGCACTTAAATTGGTCTGAGCTAATCCAAGGCCAAGGTGATCGTCTTACTAGGGACTTGAGCCGAACATGGTATGCGTCAACAGCAGATAACTTTAGTAGTGCTCGTACAAAGGTAAAACTATTTTCGCCACCACCTCGAAGATGCACAATAACATCGGTTAAGCTGAAAGATGCCGGAAAGGTATTCTGTCGAGGGAGCGATGATAGAGCGTGCTAGAGAGTGCAGATCCGATCGAAGCAGGCCAGGTGAAAGAACGCCAAAAACAAAACAATTCCGAGTGAAGAAGCTAGCGCTCAGGGCTGAATAAAGAATACACATTCTTTTTGGCATTTAGAGGTGTTTTGGTGCCTGCCTGCAGTCCTCTTATCTTTACAATAACGTCTTGTTTCTCAATCAGTGCCCCACTGATCAATAAGGCCAGCATGTTAACAGGCATCGCCTGGATCTGAGAATTGCCACAAAGCAAGGTACTGCAACTTATCAGTTCTCTAGGCTTTAGGTAATAACGATTAACGAGTTACAGCAACGACTGGCTCCTAGATAACCACAGACCATCAAAAACTCGTCTGATGTGTTGTTTGTTTGCGCCCGTGTCGACAACAGCTGTGGTTTTCCACCCTGAGCCTGTCACCGATCCGGACATTGACCTGTAGCCGTGTCGCTGGCTCGTTACGGGTGCCTGTTACATCCCGCTGCCTCCCCGCCGCAGGGTCAACGGTGACCCGGCAGGGGACCCAGTCGTAAGACCAGTCAGCGCTCGGACATTGCTGCCGCAGCGGAGCCCATAATCTGTCCACGTGCACAACGATCACAGAGCCATCAGTCTGACGATCTCCAATTACCAGGAGTTTCCATATTTTTACATGGCTGGAATATAAAAAATGCACGGCCAACATAACTGCCTGCCTTCCCGGGAATCCACGCCTGCGGTATACCTGCCGTAATTGGTCATCCCGCCGGAATGGCCAGCCCCGAGGAAGACATCAACCAGCGGTCTAATCTCCGTGTCCCCGTCGGCACTCCAAGCTCGGTCTGACCGGCCTAACGGGCCGCCGAGCTGCCTTATGGCTAATGAGTTCAACCGGACGGCTGTAACACAGGCTGCTTTACACCACAGCGCGCTGCTCGGTCGTAGTTTTCTCCCATGTTGTCTGCTCCGTTTAGTGCCTATAGCTACCGTGTTTGAGTCTCTTTTCTCTATATCTGTAATCTCACAAATTGCTGGTTCTTGAAGCTTGCCTGCTCTGCACGGTTCATGCCACTGCGTACCGAGGTAGGACCTCAGTGACTAATATATAAACAATGCATGCATCTTGCATGGATGCTTGTAGATCACAGAGATTCATTTCGTGGCTTCCTTACGTATTATATATCTCATGTTCGGCTTATCTAATGCCTGCTCAACTCACCGAGTAGCTGTTTGATCGGTGTGATACGCCGCTGCACGGAACGAACTGCGCTATAACCACGCCTGGAGTGTGCTGGAATGCATGTATCATGTGTCGCGCACCAGTGTTCGACTCCATTGTCCATGTTAAGTCGGCCTTAACGCGTGCTTAGGCGGTAACTAACCCTGTCAACCCCAGAGCGGACTTTGTGCTCCCTGTTTGACCGGTGTGACACCGTGTTTGTACTCTGAAGTTCAACCGTACCCTGAGCTCCTCCAGGTGACATTCGAAGCTCATAACCTGGCCCTCGTATCGTCTGACTCCTAGTTGGATGAAATAAAAATGTGTCATGTAGATCACGTGGTTCATGATCACTCTGCGTAAATGATACTTGACTTCCTGACATCGCTGCGTCTGCCCCTCCCAGACCGGCACATATATCACAGGTCTCACCAATCTAACGCTCGCGCCTCTCTCCGTCCCACAGCGGCGTCCCGACCCGTACGGGGGCGGCTCGTCGTCGGACGAGAACCGGTCGTCGGGTCATGCCAGCATGTCGGACGGACACACGTCCTCATCACCGCCGGCAGAGACGCTGCCCCGACACGAGCACTACCGCAGCCAGCTACGGTCAGTGGGGAGAGGGGAGACACTACCGCAGCCAGCTACGGTTAGTGGGGGAGGGGAGACACTACCGCAGCCAGAGCTACGGTCAGTGGGAGAGCTTCTTTCAGTTGGGGGGGGGGGGAGGGGCACAGACACTACCGCAGTCAGCTCCAGTCATTGAGAGAGGGGCATGGGTGGGGCACATCTGAGCAACCGGACCCTATCGATTGCGCTACTATCTAGAGCGGCAGGGGCGTGTAATCCGAGGTTAATCATCAATCAGGTGAAAAAATCGCCACCCCGATCAGTCATCGTTGAATGATGGATTAAACCCGGCTGTCTGGAAATCGGGTCACTGCTGATACCCAGATAAGCAGCTGGTAGGGTATGCAGAAACGCAGCTATCGCATATGGGACGCACGACTGAGTGGACAAGAGTCGTGCCGTGCATTTATTCATGACGCCTTGACTGGAGACCTAGTGCCGGAACTATGGTAGTGCGCACTGCGCACACTGGAATATGATCCGCTGAAGAGTGCGCGTACAGCGCGTTTGGAACGGGGGATCATCAATCATTGTGCGTTTTGAGCCGGGATATCCCGCCCACGGGCCGGCTCGAACATGACAGGGAACATGTGCTCCAAACTCCCCGCCGTAGATAGCTGTTATGATAACCTGCGAGCTGCGCAGTGCCGGCGCAGTTCTATAAACGGTGCTGACGCGCTCCGAATAGGTACTGTAACGAGTGTTTTTGACGTCCGTTATTCGTGGTCGATATTGAAGCCATGCATGTGCCTCTTAACATTGAACTTTGGAAGATGCCTAGCTAATTCAATTTCTTTTTAGGACCATGGTTTTGTTATCGTTTTGTCCATGCCGAACCTTTCTCTTCATTTTCTTTTGATATAATGTCCACCAGGATGTACTCGAAGCATGTCACTGCCGACTATTTTGACAGTTGTTGCAACTGTTCCTCATACCTCGATGGTGAGATGACTTCATACTATCATTAAGTCTTATCGCCGATCGCGGTGGCTATATTCGTGGAGAGCTGCTGTGCCCATATGGCAGTGAGTTACGATGTGCCTATTGAAAAGTGACGTTAGTGGCCTCTAATCTCGGAAGGCGTCTTGTTTACGGCTGGCTGCCTGTCCACCTGTTTCTGCTACATTCATTCTTACCCGCTAATTACATGTATTTTTCATCTGCTTATGTTTCACGTCACACGTGCCCAGCGTTAGTTCGTCGACCCCCTCCTGACCTGATGATCTCGGCAGTCTGACCTCATGCCTGTGTTTGACCTCGCCCTCGACAGCGGCTGACACTGACCTCGGAACTCTGTTCTTGACCTCGGGAATATCTAACCTTATTGCCTGGACAGTGTCTGACCTTGATTTCGACGGTCTACCGTAATGACCTCGGCAGTCTGTGACCTTGATCTCGGCAGTATCTGACCCCATGACCTGACCCTTGTCTGACCTTGTGCCCTCGGCAGGTCGGTACCGGAGGACGAGCGTCTGTCTGGTCCGGCTCCGGCGCCGGCGCGCGCGGTCCGCTCCCAGAGGCCGGGTCCGCTGCGGGCCGGTCGACACCGCCCAAAGGTCAGTACTCGGACACAACCCCCGGCCCCGGCCCCGGCCCGGTGGGGGTGGACGGGTCAGCTCCCACACCATACACGGCCACTGGGCACTGGGCAGGGTGTGAGAACCGCCCGCGGCGGAGTAACTTATAGCGTCCGTGAGAAAACAACGGGGTTGAGCACATGTTTTTATTACTTAATGCAGCTTATATCAGCTCGTAGATTTTAATCTGTAAAGTGATAGCATCGGTGACAAATTGCAGACTTGGCAAGGCTTGTAAAGCAAAACGATACTATCGATAGTACTGCCGTATTGACTTTGATAGCAGTGATAGCACACATTGACGTATTTCATCGTGAGATCACCACATAGTTAAGCTGTGCAATTCGTATTCATTCAGTAGAGCTGGGCTGGTCCACACCTGCCTGTCTGTCTGAGAGCTGTTCGGTCTCAGTCCGTGTCTGGCAGCGTCTCCGGGACGGTATATCAGGAGCCCATCGCTCCGAGCTGTCTGCTGGTGAAGGTCACCCGTCACGCTTCACCCCTAGCCCTGCCCCTCCTCTGGCGTGCCTTCCCCACGGGACGATGGCGTCTTGTATACCCTGAAGTGTCTCTTCTTCCGGGTTTTCGAGCTATTATGTGTTCGTTTAAGTTAACACTTGCGTTTCGATTACTATGTCGAGGTTAGGTCGAGGTTAGTTACAGGAAGAAGTGATCGAATCTCTTGAACACTTACATATGTTACTACGTCTCTTGTCCCCACGATGATCACCGCAACTCTTCACGTGCACCCTCCCCCCGTCCCCGCCCCGGACTCCACTGACCCTCCCCCCCCCCCTCGCTCGCCATCAGGACGACCTGACGCTGCAGCTGGAGTCGGCCTCTGGTCTGGACGACATCAAGCAGGCCATCGAGCAGCTGACGCTGCGCTCCCAGGGCTCGCGCACCTCCTACTCGACATCCACCTATTCGTCCATGTCGGGCTCGGAGTCGGAGCCGGTCCGGCGGCTGATCCGCCACTCGTCGCTGGAGACGGTCAACACCAACGTCACCGCCGCCGACGAGTTCGTCTGGGTCGACTCGCACAACAGGTGGGTGTGGTGGTAGGAAACGGAAGTCGGTGAATTCTGAACATTGTCAGAAATGCTCAGGAAGCTTACGTGAATGAGTAGCTAACCGGTGGCATACAGATGTGGCCTAAGAATGAGTCCATTCGTGCGATCATTGGCAAAAAAAACTTACGTAGTATCTCTACGTAAGTAGTTGTACATGAATTAAGTATTTCGTGAGTATTTCTACATAAATGGGTTTTAGGTAGTTCACCAGCGGCACGTAGATGATGTAAGCTAAAAATCGACTCACTCGAGCAATGAATGGGTAGTTTACCGGTACCGTGGGTACTGAAGTGTGCCGATGACGACAGTGCAGGGGAAACGCACTCGTGTGTGATTTGCTATGTGTTTTAGCATCAGTGGTATTTTACTCACTTCCGTTGAACTTACGTGATGTTGGGTTATTTTCCAAAGTTTTGCCTTTGTCTGACATTTGGCTGGATGAATGGGTATTTTTGAACACCGCACGCTCCACCTCACACCCTGGTCGCCTGTCTGACCACCAGATCAGGTGCCGGTCGCGTGCGGCATATGTAAAATGGAACAGTCGGTCGCCGACTGTAGCGCTGTTTCCATGGACTGCCCTTAGCGACCCGACTAAGGTGTCAATGTCCCCTCCCCGTGACCGGCGCCGCCCGGCCGATTTGAATAGACAGTCACGCTGTCTCCGGCTGCGTGTCACCCGGTGCACCGACAAAATATGTCGTCAACAGGCGCTCACACATAAAAATGAGCCGGCAAATATTCACGGGCCCCTTGTGCACACAAAGGCTGCATGTAGACGCTAATGCAGTACTAGGCTCAGCCCTTGTCGGTGAGGGCTTATCCAATGCCGCATTGCAAAGCAAACACTGCTCATGGCTCTGATACTGGTCATCGCGAGGAGGGGCGGTCAGGGTTCGGATACTGCTATTGCGTGTATGTACCGGCTATTTGGCGTTCTTCTCATGTTTCCTTCAATCATATACGTGATATACTTGAATGTATACGGTAAATAATGCATCTTTTCATCCTACCACGAAAACATTCGTTGCAAATCCGTGGCATGCAAATCAATTACATTCACTGCATCATGCATGCGTTCACGTGCTGTGAAATCTAGTACTACATGCACGCTTACAGTAATCTGTTTATGAGAAATGAGGAAATGTATCAATGCGATGTTGAGCATACAATGACGTTGGCAGACAGCGCGCTTAAATGCCCCCCCCCAAAAAAAAAATGTATCTGTGTAGAACACTGTCCCGTTACCGCAGAACTCGCTGTCATGGCCTATCTGACTGTCTCGCCTCTCCCCCCCCCCTCCCCGTCAGGCTGGTGGAGCTGCAGCAGCTGCCCTGGTCCAACCACGACGTGCTGCGCGTCATCCAGAACGGCCGCATCAAGGACCAGATGGAGCGCGTCTCGATGGAGACGGTGCCGCGGCTCTCCTATCTGCTGCAGCGCGCCATTGTGCGCGTGGCGCGCGAGGCGCAGCGTCTGGCGCGCGCGCTGGGTATGTGCAGCAAACAGGAGGTGCTGTCGGCGCTGCGCGTGGTGCTGTCGCCGGCGCTGAGCGACACGTGCTCCAAGGCGTGTCTGCGCGCCGCCGCCATGTACACCGTGTCGGGCGCCGACCAGCTGCGGCAGAGCAAGAGCGGCCGGGCCGGCCTGCAGCTCTCCGTCGGCAGGTTCCACCGCTGGATGTGCGACGTCCGACTCGGAAAATTCGTCCACGAGTGAGTACCAAATGGGATAACGTGTATCAGGAGAGGTTAGGGTGGGGAGTGGAGGGTACCGTGCGGCGTGCATCAGGCAGAATGGATGCTAAGACGAAATTTGAACAGTACATGGCAAAGCGAAAGGCCTTAATGTTGAGTGGTGCATGCTTGCATACGTTTGCAACCCTAAACGCAGCTGGGCTTTAACTAAGAAGGCCAGGCAGCGAACAATTCGACTGCATGTCGTAACCGACGCAGTCCAGCCATATTCGATTACGTATGTTAATTTACCGAATTAATGAGCCCATAACCCTAACGAACTCGACTCGTTCATAATCTGGGCGCCGTTCCCTCCCATTACGCCGGTTTGACGGCCGGCGTCTGCCCGGTCCGCCGCGCCCGCTGTGTACCTGACGCCGCTCCTCCGCCGCTCAGGTACGCAGCCGTGTACCTGGCCGCCGGCATGGAGAACCTGCTGGAGGAGATGGTGCTGCTCAGCCTGCCCGGCGACCCGCACGCCATGCTGACCGCCTCCACGCTGGAGCACTCGATCGCCAACAGCGGCGACTTCTGGGGCCTGCTGCAGCCGTACGCCCACCTCAACGCGGGGCGGACCGCCAGCGGTGAGCAGAGGGGGAGACAGGGGAGGGAGGGGGTCACAGCGGCGACTTCTGGGGCCTGCTGCAGCCGTACGCTCACCTCAACGCCGGGCGCACCGCCAGCGGTGAGCAGAGGGGGGAGACAGGGGAGGATTAGACTTGGTGGACGGGAGAAACTAAGGTACGAGATTTTGGCAGAAGTGAACGGACGTGACGATAACGGGGAGAGGAATCGATTCAGGCAATGAGGAGGACGAAAAATATAGGCGGAAGCATTTAAGGTATGCAGGAATTCGTAACGAAGACGCGGATTTTTTTACGATTTACTGTCTTCTTGGCATCGAAGCCTCATTTTCGATTCAAGAGGGCGCCAGTGTGTGGTGTTGTAAATAGTTAGCTCTGGTAGCAAACAGCTGCTGTCTCAGAGGACTTAATTTGCATTTATCGCCCGCCGTAAAAGCCACTCAATTTTTACGTTCGATGGACAGAAATGGAGCAGAATTGGCGCGTGATTTACGGCATCGCAGTTTGGCTGTCCGGAATGTTTTATGCCGCCGATAAAAAAAGCTCACAATTACCAGGTCTAATACGATTTAGGCGCAAAAACTGCCTCATCCCTCCAACCGTCCCCCATAAGGTCTCGGTGAATCCAGACAAATTATCGTCAACGTTTTACATCTAGTTTTTCGTGTCAGGGCGCGGGTCGGGCAAAAAGGTGCAGGTCCGACCGGGCTGGCGGGCGGCGGTGACCGCTGCTGACGGCTGGCGCGGGCCGGCCGGCCGGCGGGCGGGTCCTGCCGTCCCCTCGCCGGCTGACTGTCCGGCAAAAACCCGGGCCGGCGCACACAGCATGGCACCGGGCGCCTCAGAGCGACTCACAATGGTCGGTGCGTTGTCACTGCGCAGTGTCTGAGCCAGGTCAGCTCACAAACAATACATGTGCTCAGCTCCGCTGGTGCTCGGTGTCGGGGACTCTGCTAGTGATCATTCCATCGGCCATGTTGATTGGTTCATCGAGTGGCACTTGGCATCACATCGAGACACTCAATGTAGGAAAAGATGGTGCTAAGTTGGTGCTCTGCCGGTGCTCCACCGGTGTTCCACTGGTGCTCCACCGGTGCTCCACCGGTGCTCTGCCAGTACCGCCCGCCGCCGGGGGCCCCAATCACCTCTCTGGATACTCCATCGGTGCTCCGCCAGTACCGCCCGCCGCCCGCCGCCGGGGGCCCCAATCACCTCTCTGGATACTCCATCGGGCGCCGGGGCCGGTCGAATGCTAATAAAACCCCCGCCGCAGTCGGCCGCCGCTCCAGCGCCGCGCCGCGGGCACATTCCAAGAAGATGAGGCGGCGCCGGCGGCTGCCTGCGCTCCGCCGCACCGCCGACCGGTCACGGGGCATTAGGCTAATGGGCCGCGCCGGCCACTCCGGGGTCGGAGGTGCCCGGCCGGCCGCCGCGCGCGCGCTTTGTTTTAGGTGTTTGCTGGCGCCCCAGGTGAAATGAGACGTCCGAGGGTGGACCCACAATGGATTTCTGATGTCGGTACCGATTATTGACTCTTCCCGGATGACTGTTTGGGTAATTTTGGTACGGATAGCTGTGATTTACAATGTTTTGGTCACTTATGGGGAGTTTCTATGTCGGTGTTTGATGTCAGCACGTCTTTTCTCTTCGCTCGTAATTGAAAGACGCGCTCTGAAATTGTCGGGTCGCGGTACAATTCCATTAGCATGTGTGGGAAGGCTGAGACATAATTGTTATGAATTTAATAACAGCGAAAAACGCTAGTGAGCTGTTTATCACGGAAACAATTATGGTGATAAAGGTGGGACTACATCGGACCACATGTGGAGACTCATTTCATTCTGTGAGCTGTAAACAAAGCCGGACAATTTTATCGAGGCAAGGTCGGCCCGGCCGTTAATCACAAGCTGCTGCGGCCTTCTACCAGGACTGATGGCATCGGGTAATTCTCACAATATGGTACGCAATTCCACCGGCGCCACGGGGGCAGTGGGAAGTCGTGTGAGGGCGCAGACTTCAAAGGCGCGCGGGAGCCGGGCCGGGAGACACCCCGGTGCACGAGGGGAAGCTGAAAGTTACATCGGACTTATGATGTAGAGGTGTGAGCGACCGTATCCAGAGACTTCCTCGAAGTTGGAGGGCTGCAGTAATTCATTTCGAGGCGTAAATATTGATTGCTAAAGCCACAGACAACATTGTTATGCCCTCAGCCCATTCCTGCTCCCTAACAGCGAGTCACAGCCGCGAATTCATGGAGACTGCATTTTAGCACAGAAAGATAGCCCTGGCTCATGGAGACTGCAATAGCGACTGGGAGCATAGCAGCAACTGCGTCCTGGCACAGAAATCTAACACCAGGTAATGGCGACTGCAACAGCGAGTGTGAACATATCACTGTGACTGCCCGTGCGAGACGGCCGCGCTAGCAGGATGGCTCTCAGTGATCCCCGGGCTCGGCACCCATCATGCCCGCCCGGTCCGACAGTAACGACCTCCATAACGAGCACGCACAGGCTGTAGATGACCCGGCCGGTCACCCCGTTTCTCCCGCTCCGACGCCGCCGCTCGCTAGCCTCAGATGACGTCTAGAGTGGCAGGGCGATCGTCTGGCAAATAAGCCCACCCGCCCAGTCACGCTCGGCCAGATAATGATGCTCACTCGGCGCGTGTGCACTCGTCGAAATCTGCCGTAAATCTTAACGATTCATAAACTGTCGCTCAGTGGGGCGATGGCGATGGGGCGTGAGCCGGCCGTCTTCGGCATGGCTTTATTAGCCTCAGTGCCGTCTGATGGCTTCTTACCAATTACTGCGGCCGCTAGCATCCAGCGATTAGCCCGCCGAATGGCGCTCGGCCGATGGTTTCGGATCACTTGAGGATGTTAAGTGGGCCGAATTATCACGATTAGCGTTGTCCTAGGTCGAAATGTGGGGATAACTGGCTTACGATGCGAGCGAACGAGGGTATGACAATTTGGCCGGCCATCGAACTGGTCAAACGGGCATTGGGCATGCATCTATCTACAGGGGTCACGGCATCTCTTAAAGACGGCGCTGCAAAGAGGCTGCTAGACGGAGAGAGAAAGTGGAATACGACCATGAGGCAATCTGCCGAGAAGATAACTCTCGGTTTTATTGTCCTAGGATACCTACTTCGATGCCGCTAAACATCCGTGGCTGTTCGTATTACCGCTAATGAAATGCTATCCAGATGTGAACTAATGAAGCAATTTGAAACGCGTTGCAAGCACGTTTAAATGGTCAACAATTATTTTCTGTCGCTTCTTCCCCGAAATATCACTTTCATCAGCTTTTCGTGCGTGCATTAGACCGCCTGGCTCCTACCACTGACTTGCTTCTCGGTGACACAAGTTTCACCGTCCATCTCCCGGTCACTGACGTGTGTCTCTGCTCCCGTTGCCGGTTTCAGGCGCGCTGGCGCTGCCGCGGTTCCCGAGCACGTCGAGTCTGGACAGCTGTCTGTCGCAGAGCCAGTCGGCGGGGCGCTCATCCAACTCGTCTTCGTTCACACTGACCTCTGGCGACGACCACCGGCCGCCGGCCCGGAACGCACAGCAGGTACGCAGAGCGACGTGGTAACGTGTAAAATCCTGAAGGGTAGTGTGGGAGCAATGTTGTTGCTGTGTGTGGCATACATACGTGGTGTTCATCGCATAAAACGAGTGATGAAACGGACACATTTACCAATCTTGGTGCAAAGTTTACCTCTACATTTTTCTTTTCTCAGCTTGATCTCATGAGTGTTTCTTATTTTCTGCTTTTCATCCAACTGACCTCTCCCTCGTTCCCAGGCGCTGCTGACCACCTGCGTGGGCACACTGTCGGAGCTGGGGGAGCTAGTGTCGCGCGTGGCCCAGTACCACCAGTGTTTGGCCTCCTCCGGCACCCCGAGCCGCACGGCCATCACCTGGGGACCCTCGGCGCTGCACACGCTATTCTACTTCATGCGATGCTCTCAGGTAAGTGCAGAGTCGTCATTCGGCATTGAGAAAACGGTGCGTAGGTGATACACTCTTCAGCAGGCATCTTTATTATGTTTTGTACGTAAACCGTTTAGTTGCCATTGTTAGCTGCATCTATTATGATAAAATAATCGCAGTGATTACGTTCTCACCACATTGAAAGTATAAACACAACTGTGGGTTGCTTTTTTACACAACTGCCTAACCCCAGTTCTACCACCGGAGCATCCAGAGTTCTCTCCCCCTAACCTCCCCCTCCCCTCTACACAGCTGGAGCACGCCGAGCACGCGGAGCACGAGCGGCGCCCGCCGGTGCAGGAGCTGGTCTACGAGCGGCCGTACATCGTGCTGCCGCCGCTGGTGGAGTGGGTGCGCGTCAGCACGGCGCACGCCGACCACCGGCACGCCGCCGTCGTCGACAAGGACGACGTCAACCAGGCGGCGCGCCTGCTGCTGCCCGGAGTGGACTGTCCGCCGCGGCTTACAGGGTAGGTGGACTGTCCCCCGAGACAGACAGGGTGGGTGGTGGGGCTGTGAGGAGTGTGTAGTGAGCTCTGAGCGTGGGAGTGTGCTGTAAGAAGACGGTAGAGCCATCAGGGTAGGTTGAACTGGCAGGGTAGGCGGATCGTTGAAGTGGAATAGGATTCCACTACGACATGCTTTTGGTGGCTGGAGTGCACTGTCCACCGCACCTGACCGCGATGATGTATGTGGCTCTCCTTTCCCACCTTCACACATCCCTGAGTTGCACCGTGTCTCACCTCGACCCCCCCCCCCCCTTCCCTCCCGCAGGTACGAGGAGCTCAGCTGTCCTCGGAGACAGATGGACGAGGCAGAGTGCGCCAGGAAGTTCAAAATCGACCTGGCCTTCAGAATGCTGAGTGTCGGCCGGACGGACCTGGTACCCCACGCCCTGCAGTTGCTGCCCTCCACCAAGGTAAGTTCGGGCTACGGTGCCGCATACCGAACCGTGCTCGGTGCTGGATATATTTTGGTTGATAAATGATGTGTGCGATGGCTTGGAATGCTGGAAATGTGACATCGGATCAATAAGTCATGGATCGAATTTGAGTTAGAACCTCATATGGGCAATTCAAGGTTTGGGAGGACTAAACGTGATAAGGAACCACTCGGATTAAGTATTCTTACAGAGTAAGTTTTACATTAATTATTGTACATGTCTCCTCACAGGGCCAGCTGCAGGTGAACACGGTGAACGAGTCGGGCCTCTCGCCGCTGATGCTGGCCTGCGTCCGCGGCGACGAGGCCATGGTACGACTGCTGCTGGACTCGGGCAGCGACATCGACGCCGAGACGCCCCCGCTGAGCCCCACACATCCCACAGGTCAGTGGAGAGTCCCACACACCCCACAGGTTAGTTATAGTTACCGGCATCTTAGACAGAAACGGTGTACCTGTCCCAGTGTCCCACCCCACACCACAGGCTAGTTATAGTTACCGGACAGAGAGGGACTCAGATACAGTGTTCATCCGTCCGACTCATTTTGTACAGCCCAGGTCTAGGAACAGTCATTGAAGCATAGATAGGGTCGTGGTCCAATTCGCTAAATGTGTTGTGAGAATTCTTCCAACCTGCCGCGTAATTCCCCATGACTTACGGGACGTTACAGACAACACATACAGCATATCAGAGACACTTACAGAACCACAAAAATTACTTGTTCAAACCACAAAACACCACTAGCATTTCACCACAAATGGGTTCTGCGTAACGCTATTTCACAACGCTCCCAACTACAAACGAGTCACGATTTACGTGTGACGTTTCCAGCCAAACTGCCCGCTGTCTCGCCACTGAGCCGAGGGTTGCGCCCCTGGTGATCTTTACGCGACTAACGTCCGTCCGTGTGTGCCCTCAGCGAACCCTGAGACGCAGCACTGGACGGCGCTGACGTACGCTACCATCCACGGACACGCGTCCATCATCCGCCTGCTGCTGGAGAAGGGCGCCAACGTGGAGGGCGGCGCGCGCCTCAGCGAGGACAAGTGCACCGAAACGCCGCTCCAGGTGCGTGAGAGGCAAATAGAGAGGGAGAGGGATGGAGAGAAGGGGGAGAGTTGCTTATTCAGAAACAGGGCAACCTTAGGAGGTGAAGTCAGTAACGAGAGATCAGTAGGTATGAAATTTTCAATCGTGGTATCGTATGTACCTAAAAATGAGCTGAAGCCTGAAGCACGCCTGAGTTCTGCTGCGGATACCATTCAGAGGCTCGCTTCTGATTCCGTTTCCCCTCGGTGTGACAGGTGGCGGCTGCGTCTGGCAGTCTGGACATCGTGTCTCTGCTGCTCAGCTATAGCGCCATGCCGTTCCTCTCCACCCTGCTCAACGACTCGCTCTGCTACTCGGGCGCCGCTCAGAAGGTATGTACCGAGCTCTGACGCTCCCCGTCTACCGAGAACGGATATAACTCCTGTCAGTCAGTACCGTTTACAGACCCGAGTGGCATAACCTGCTTAGGCAGTGGACAGAGGTGCATCTATTTCCATTTGCTTTGCATTGTTTTGATTGGGGGAGCGGAGAAAACCAGTTATATTTACGCTGTTCTGACCACTCCCAACAACACCAATCAGGAACGGCGAGGCAGATGGGTGCAGCACCGTCAACCCACCACAGGACTGATGGTCAAACTAGGGACATTGAATGCTCACCAACTGTTTGTGTCCCCGTCAGCTGATACATGGACAGTTGTTTGTTATTGTCTGTTCACCGCTCCCTCTCGCTATTCAGTGCATCACTCACATATCTGCCCTGTCCTTATACTCGATGTAAACTGTCTATCCCTAGACTCAGACCCGCCGCTTTCTCTGTGGCATATGACTGTGTCTTTTTATATCTACCCACCATTGCAGTCTCCAATAGCTCTCAAGATCTCCAATATGTAGGCTTCATATGTATCTGATAGCTTCCATCCACCGGCTTCAACCACCGCCATCGCCACAATCGCCTTTAAGAGTCTCGATATACTTCTCTTCGTCTGCAGCGGTGCTCTGCGGTGCTGTCACTGACCCCCTCTCCCCCTCCCCTCCCTCGACAGGGCTGCTATTCTGCCATCGCTGTGGCGTCTGCGCACGGCCAGCGGGCGGTGCTGTCACTGACCCCCTCTCCCCCTCCCCTCCCTCGACAGGGCTGCTATTCTGCCATCGCTGTGGCGTCTGCCCACCGCCAGCGGGCTGTGCTGTCACTGACCCCCTCTCTCCCTCCCTCTCTCTTCACAGGGCTGTTACTCTGCCATCGCTGTGGCGTCTGCCCACCGCCAGCGGGCTGTGCTGTCACTGACCCCCTTTCCCCTCCCCTCGTCTCCACAGGGCTGTTACTCTGCCATCGCTGTGGCGTCCGCGCACGGTCAGCGGGCGGTGCTGCACCAGCTACTGTCACACCCGCTCAACAGCGGCCGCCAGGAGGTGCTCAGTCTGGAGGAGATTCTGGCCGAGGGCAGCAGCCAGCACACGGGAGACCGGCGCGGCAACCGGCTGCAGGTGAGATCGCTGGGGTGTAGTGGGGCGGAGGGTATCTGTTTAACGGCGAGACGTGCTAGTGTGATCGAGATCGGGAACAAAGAGTCTTGTTGACGCATCGGAAACTTTCCCAACTACAAGAATTTTACTCATTTCTTGGTAGTTCGTGACTCATACTGATGGCCCACCTAAAATTTTACTTCGAATCCGTATGTCTCTGTTCCGACAAGCAATGTTTGATAAAACGTTAGTCTTCTATCTTCCTGGTTTGGTACGTGTGCTCTCTGATCTGATCGTGTGTAACCTCTCTGACCCGTTCTTCAGGTGTTGCCTGTGAGCGTGGACGACCCGCGCACCAGCTCCCTGGGCTCCAACAACTCTGAGACGTCCCAGATGCTAAAGCTGACCAAGGTGCAGATCAAGGCACTCCAGGAGGCCATGTACCACAGCGCCGAGAACGGACACCTCGGTAAGTGTCGAGTGGCTCTGTTTGTCTGATAGTCTGATTGCAAAGCTGGTAGTGACGGCTAGATCGTTAGATCGTTTCTGGTTGTATAGTGTCGTCAGTCGTGTGGTAGGATACTTTACAGAAATATAATCAAAAGACGGTTTTCATTAGATTATTAACGGCGTCTTTATGTTCGCCACGCCACTGGCATTACCTTTCTCTTCAATCACCTCTCAATCCCGTACTTGCCGCCCGTGCTGACCCGCCGTTTGCTCCACAGAGATCACGCTGGACCTGCGTAACCTGGGCGTGCCGTGGACCCTGCACTGCTGGATGCACACGCTGGCCACCGCGCACGAACACCGTCTGGAGAACATAATCGACCAGCTGCTGCAGGACTTCCTGCAGGTCTGGCCCGACGACTACTCGTCTCAGTTCGTCGACGAGTGCCTGCCGCTGCTCTTCAACATCTTCAGATACAGCAAGGTGGGTGTGAGGCAAACAGCGGTGCTGAGGAACGTTTGTTTTGGTAAGTGCTCCTTGTGATATTTGATATCTTGCGATATAATCGTGGATGCATCGCTTGGTAGTGGGTGTCGATCGATTGTTAGTGGTTAATAGCTGAATAACAGTGTTAGCGATCTTCAATGTCGGCTATATGCAATACGCGCGTTATATCCTGCTGTATTTCAGCTAAATAACCAGCGACATCCCTTTTTCAGTGCGAGGGCACGTCTCTGCTACTGGCGGACATCTTCTCGTCCTGTTTCGGCCGCGAGGCCATCAAGGAGATCCGCGACTCGACCCTCACCGGCGGCCCCCGGATCGACCCCAACTTTGTCAACAACCCCGACCTCTCGGACGTCCAGTTCCGTGTGGAGGGACGCGTCTTCTACGCGCACAAGATCATCCTGATCAACGCCTCGCCCAGGTTCAAACAGATGCTCAACTCGAAGTTCTGTGACGGCAATCCGCCGATCGTGCAGATCAACGATATCCGATACGATATCTTCGAGGTGAGGACTTAATGGCTCTCTGAGCGTGACACTGTTACTGGTACACGTAAAAATCTAGTCACCAAGCGCTATGTGATTTTGTGATGCTTTCCTAGGACTATTCGATTCATGATAACTCACTATCAGTTCTCTACAGACATAGCATGCACCTATTTTTGCCACATCTATTGGTCGCTTCAAACATTGTCCAATGCCTAAGGTATGCCACGACTCGGCCCACGACAGCCGTATGTCGACCCCAAAGCACGTCGTCTTTGACCCAGCCTTTGACTCCCGTCTGTCTCGTTTTTCAGCTGGTGATGCATTTCCTGTACAAGGGCGGCTGCCAGCAGCTCTCGGTCGGTCAGACAGACGTGCTGGAACTGATGGCCGCAGCCAACTTCTTCCAGCTGGACCGGCTGCTGCGCTTCTGCGAGGCGCGCTGCGCCAAGCTGGTCGACCTCGATAACATCGTCTCCATGTATATTCACGCCAAGGTGCGGAACGAAACGTGAACATGTTATTTACATTCAGCTTCAGGCAAGATAGGTAGACGGTATCGAGATACAGCTCTCGTCTAACCATGACTACTGCCTGATGTGTTTTGTTACGTTTAAAAACTTCCAATGGCTGGTTTGGTGATCTGTGGAATTGCTCATAGTGTCTGTCATGACAGGTTGTCCGTGAGCGGATCATCACTAACACCCGTGTCTCCCGCCCACAGGTGTACAACGCGGCACAGCTGCTCGAGTACTGCCAGAGTTTCCTGCTGCAGAACATGGTCGCCCTGCTCACCTACGACGACTCTGTTCGCCGGCTCATCTTCGGCAAGAAGCTGCACAACCACGACGTGCTGGCGGGGCTACAGCTGACCCTGCAGACGCGCATCAAAGCCAAGTGCCGGCCGGCCAGCTAGCTGCCGCCGCGCGCCCCACCCACCCCCAGAGACCCCCGTATTTATTATCAGATCCGGTACCTCACCTTCAGTCAGTGTCCAGGCTCCGCTAGGTGGCCCCAGCAGCGCCATCGGGCGGCCAGCCGCGCGGCGGCGCTTGTTTGTTTGTTTTATATTGCGTCGCCACCAGACGTGGTGTTTGTCTCGAAGTTCCTGATGGCGCGCGTGCGGCAGCGTTACAGGAAGGTGTGTGTGGAAGGCTCAGAGAGTCTGCATTGGGAGTAGAATGTCTTTGCCTCGGTTTGTTTGTTTATGATGCCACTTTGACTCACTTTGATATACTTCGTTTTCTGGTTTATAGCTATCGGTGCGATGTGCTCCATGACAAGGTAACCCGAGTGTTGTGAGTGAGTGTTTGTGTGTGTATGCGCTCGTGTGTGTATACCGGTAGTGGAGTGTAGTCCGGCGGGCCGTCCTCCGGCCGCCGTTCGACTGCTGCGTCCGTCCCGCCGCGCAGCGGTAACCACCTCAGTCTGTGCCTCGTTCTAGTTGCTCAAAGTGTGGCCGTCGGGCGCGGCTCGGCCCGAGAACAGACCGTACAGTGCCATTGAGTACAACAAACAAACACTGGGGCACTCTGTGAATCAGTCGCGTGCCAATATTGTACATAGACTCAGTATTACCGGTGTGTGCCGGGGAGCGCAGACCGCCGTCCGGCAGTGCGAGAGAACCGAACAAATATGAGAGAGAGAAAACTGTTTAATCAGACGGGAGAATGAAGCCGAGCGTCTTCCTCGCATGTTCACGAATGGGGAAGCGGAAGGTTCGGGCGGCGAACCTCTTGAACGAATACTTATCGCGGAAAATTTGCCATGAGAGACGATGTGTTGTGATGTTTGGCGTTACGCCAAAACGGTTAAATACATTAAATGGAAAGTTATATGATGTTTCCATGCGTATCTTCAGCATATGTATAAAGATAAAGCAACTGATGCCAGTTGTAGGTTAACCAGGTGGAAGTCTGTCAGTAAACACCCAACGTTGCTGCGAAGTTTGAATGGTCAAATCCCCGTGATCATAGTGGGTGGTCTGTTCCGTAGCTCAGTTGGTAGAACGTTGGTCTCCCGGTGGCAAGAGCCCGGGTTCGAATCGCTCCGGGTATCCCTCCCCTGAATCACATTCAACGCTTAAGCCACTGTTAAGCAGATAGTTACCGATACATCTGCAAAAATTGTTCCACTCAAGTCACGGTGAACAGTTAGGTGTATACTATTCTCCCCCACTCTTGACGTGAGACACCTAAGCGGAAGTTGACAAGGTTGATCATATGCGAGATTAGTTGTGAAAGACTGATGGGTCTACGAAGCAGTGAGGCGGAACTTCTCATTCTCAGTCATTTATACAAACCACACGAGCATATAAATAGCTGCCAGAATTATACTGCCCTCACTTTTGCACGTATACAATTCAATCCAGAGCACTATGCAGACACATTGTGCGTAGCTAATGACCATCGCATCCAGCCGTAAGGCGGTCTGAGCACATTAGGCACATGTCGTACGGCTTACCTGACGCACAGAAATGCCTGCTAGTGAGCCGAATAAATGCAGCTTGATGCTTGAAAATCCACCTAATACAGCAGGTTACCAAGTCCTGGTCCTCCGAGTCCCTGTCCTCCAAAGGGCCCTCCGAGTCCCTGTCCTCCAAAGGGCCCTCCAAGGGGCCCTCCGAGTCCCTGTCCGAAGGGTCCTCTGAGTCCCTGTCCGCCGTAGAGACCGCCGAATCCCCGACCTCCGAAGGGTCCTCCGAGGCCTTGTCCTCCAAGGATTCCACCGAGACGTTGTCTTCCGCCGAGTCCGCCGAATCCCTGTCCTCCGAATAGTCTGCCGAGTCCCTGTCCGCCAAACAATCCGCCAAATCTACGTCCATATCCGCCCAAGTTTCCGCCGAGTCCCTGTCCTCCGAACGGTCCACCAAGTCCCGGTCCGCCGAACAGTCTGCCGAATCTACGTCCTCCGGCTCCGAAGGGTCCGCTGAGTCCCTGTCCGCCGAAGATCCCGCCGTACCCTTGTCCTCCAAGTCCCTGTCCTCCTAGGGATAATCTCTGTCCGAAGGGTCCTCCAAGTCCTTGTCCTCCGAAGGGTCCATCGAATGGTCCTCCGAGCCCTTGTCCTTCAAAGGCTCCTCCGTCGAGTCCCTGTCCTCCGAGCAGTCCTCCGTCGAGTCCCTGTCCTCCGAACAGTCCCCCGTCTCCGATGGGCGGCAGTCGGGGCCGTCTGGGGATCAGCAGACTGTGCTCGCTGATGCCCAGGTCGTTGATGCCCAGGCCGCCCAGCTGGTAGGCGTACGACGGTGCCGAGAAGTAGACACTGGTGCCGTCCGTGGGGATGTTGTAGCTGTTGCTGTAGTCGCTGCCGCTGCCATAGAAACTGGCCGCAGCGCCGGCCGTCAGGGTGAACCAAATCACCGCCTGAAATAAAATACAGAGGATGAGACGACAAAGCGACATCAGTCACTCGCTTGGAATGATCGCGCGTAACAAAATATGCTTACATGTGCGTTTCGTAAGAGTCGCCTACATTACCGGGATCAATACCTATATAGGTATCAAGGTACATGGTCCGGGGCGCGACATCGACCGTAGCGGCGAGGGAGGCTTGGTGCCCGTATTATTGAATTGGGTAGTTCCCTAGTCATAGGAATCCATTCACCAGAAATCTGTTGATACGTAGCCGGACACCGGACGGATCAGAAATAGGGAGCAAGACTAAGGACCGATAACGCTAGCTTTATTTTCCCGATAGCATGACAACTTCCCCCGAGCAATTTGTCTGAACTGGCTGACTGGCTGCATGTTGCAGGCTAGCGCTTTCCTGGTGACTTATTTCCTATCGGGGATTACGTTTGTTCGGACAACAGCTTAGCAAATCTGGCCGTGATCTTATTTTTCCGGCAAAGGTTATGATCGAAAAATGATCAGGTTGAGGTCAAGATCAGGCCGAGGTAAGGGCGCAGGTCTAGGCCAGGTCAAGGCCATTTCGACTTTCAGGCAAGGTCAGGTCACTGTGACTAAGTGTAGGCCAGGTCGAGGTCAGGTACTTGACACTTCAGTCAGGTAAGAATCAAGCAAAACACTGCACGGCTTTGGAGTAGGGTACGTCAGGAAGCTTCTGTCTACGTGTGGTGTGAGCTCATGGAGGTAGAAACAGTATCGTGCTTTTGAACTTATTGCACTGTTACAGCTAAAAATTCACGCAAGCATGGTGGCAACGAAGTAAGGAGTCATTCCGGACGCAGGCAAAACCTCTATTTTGAAGAAAAGGGCCTGTACTTGTTTCAAATTGCTCCTTCTACCTATAGCTTGGACATTAAATGGCAGGGGAAAGAGTTCTACGCCGACGATCCTGAGCTCGCAAAAAGACAAGTCGAAACGGCTCACCTACTCCTTATCGATCTGCCGCGGGCTATGAAGAGCTAAACAGTTCGTTCCACTAGCAAATATCGCAATGATAAAGTGTTAGCACTATTCCACTCACAGCCCCGTTCTCACTCGCTCTCACAGGGTGACGGTTCTCACCTTCATATTCCGATCCGTGCGGTTCGATCCGGTCAGTGGTCACTGGGGTTCACTCGGGTCACGTGATCAGCGGCGACTGATGGCGTCGGTCCGCACTGAGAGTTTATATCACCTCGGTCGGCCACGCCTCCGCCGCCGTGAGATAAGGCTCAGAGCTGGCCGGGAAAACGGGGGCGCCCGGCAGGAAAGTCGTCCCCTGCAGCCGGCCGGCCGGGTGTTTCTGTGGGCTGTCAGGGGAGACAGGAGCCCGAGAGAAGGCCGACGGACCATCGCCGTCAGATCAGCCGCCTGGAATGGTCAGAGACACCAGTGATTGGGTAAAGATGTATCACATTCATTCACTCATGTTTCCCTGAGTGGCCCTGCACCTTCAGCACACGAGAGTGGGAGCAAATATCCGGGCGATGCACGCACCTATTCACAGAAATTCATGCAGCAGGACTTAGGTCGGGCCTTCCTTGATCACCCAACCCCTCCCGTTCTGCCTGCCACCCCACTGGTAGCTGGTGGGGTGCTCAAACTAGAGCGAGCCCTCCCGAGATGACCGCTCAAAGATATAGCAAATATGTACTCCTACCGCGAGCGACGAAAGGCTAAAACACTGGATTTGTTACGTACGATAATTGTGCATTTATTGACGGATAGAAGTCACTCACAAAGCCAATTATGTACCAGCCAGCACACGCCTATTACATACGCACACATACACCCCTACATGCATACTTACTTATACACATACATACATACAGTCATACATGCATTGATGCATACCTACCTACATACACGTTCGCTGTGCCAGAGCAGCAGTCTGGTCGGGTGGGCCGGCCATAGGCCGCCACATCACTCGCTGAATGGGTAACACAACATCGGCCGTCGGCCTGAGCTTTAAAGAGGACAACATACATCAGCCGCCGACCTGGGCCGTATGGCAGACGCCATACATACAGCGGACACCATACGTAGGCCGCGGGCCTGGGCCATACAGCGGGCACCGATCACACGGCCGGGCAGAGTACTGGTCCGCTGAGGCTGGTCCGCGCAGCCGAGCTAGTCGGAACTCGGAACTGAGCTAGTCGGAACTGTGCTAGTCGGAACTAATGGTCAGTTGTATCTCGCAGTCCAAACATGGACGGCAGAGGCACACATCACACAGGTTACACGGGTTAACCCCCACTAATCGCAGCTCGTTAAATAATCTGCCGGCCGTGGCCGGCGTTTGTTCGCAACCAACAACAACACAAACAACAATGGCGGCTCGACATGCAGCGTGAGGAAAGGACTATCACTGGAGAGCAGGCCGGGGGCCGCGCGCCCTCGGTCGTTAAGAGAAGGGCGGGTCGGCGCCACCGCCGGCACCGCTGTGAAAGCACAAACCGCAAATAGGTGCGGACGTTAGTAAAGCGCAGATTACATGACGCACCACACGATACACTGAAACAACCTCTCGTCTCGGAGTTACCAGGACTGAAATATAACAGTACCGATGAGCGAAACCACTGATCACTTCACAACGCACAGGCAAATCTCCACTCTGCCAGTCTGGCCAGCACGGCCCGCCAGCTGCCGGTGTCCACAACAGGGCATGAGCTACCACCGGCGCCCACAGGAGACCGAAACCGCCGCCAGCTGCCACAGCAGACCGACGAGCCTCAGCCCACCTGACACCGACGGAAACTGACGTCCGCCGCAGCCGCACGCGACAACCGTCACAATCTCCCCGCCGGCCTTCCTGCCCGGTCCACTCTGCGTCCGCTACCACACAGGGACTCGAACGACCCGCCAACAACCGATCGAGGGCTCGGCCGCACCACAGCCGACTGTGTGCGCACTGGTGTGCTTCTGAGAGAACGCGCGCGTCCTGAGACGGCGAGGGCGTTAGTTCAAACCTCGCAGAAGGACCTGTTGAGAGTGCGTCCCGAGGCGCCTAGGGCACTCTCTGGTCACATCCTGTGTGTTACGGGCAGCTTCGGGGTGTTGGGGGCGCCCTGCGGTCCTAGGACGGCCCTGAGGCGCTCCTGGGAGAATGTCGGTGTCGGTGGTGGGTCCGTGGTGAGACGGGCGCAAGATAGATGCGCTGACGCCGCCGAGTGGCCCAGAAGGTACCCGTTCGGAGTGACGCAGTCAAACCACAGGGACGGTGACGTCACTCAGCGGGAGATAACGTTAATAAGCGATTGGTGACGTCACTCCACGATAAGCCGCACGTCCGAGCGCACCTCCGGCTCATCTGGAACGGTGACGTCACTGTCAGCTCGACTGGCTATGGACGTCACGAAACCTACAAAATACTACTTCGATCTCTGATGATCGGCATGAATTCCTTACATGTTCCTCTCAAATTTAAGATTCCGTAGATAAAATGTGATGAAGTAAGAACCAAACACAAACGACTCAGCACAGCTGCACAGTCAAAAAAATGCACATATCCCTTCGGTTTCTGTACCTGACTGGCCGTTGCTGTATTTGTGCGCGGGGCCCGTCTCGCTGCCCTCCCACCGCTCCTGGCCGGCCAGGTCTCGGTCGGCCGACCCGCCGGGACTGCCGCCCAGGCTGAGGACAGACACGTGCAGGTGGGCTCCAGTGGACCGCACACGGCAGGGACAGGCACCGGGAGCAGACTCGTGCACCGGACGGAGCACCGTCACCATTTACACAACCACGTCCAACCATCATACCGAATAAAGTGTGTTCATTGCCTTTAAGCGCGTTGGTTTTAGGTAAACTGTGTGAGAATGCGAGATAATGGCCCTGTTGCCATTGCACATTGCACCAAACTGTCGATACTATCCTGTGCGCAAGTAAAACTTATCATTCATGCCAGAATTGAGAATAAAAACAAACACCCTCCCCTCGTCTGATCCACCAGAGTTCTCTTCAAAAGAACCGAGCCACCACCTTCAATATTTAGTGATCACGGATGCATCAATCACGGGTCCCAGCCCCGCACCTTTGTTGTCCACCCCGACACACCCCGGTCAGCTCAGCCGCGTCCCGCGGTGGGTGCCGCCTCTGGTACTGACCTGGCGGCGGGCGGGCCGCCGGCCGGCTCGTCCGTGGTGCCGTAGCTGACCGAGGTCAGCGGCTGGTGGCGCATCGGGAAGGACACGCCGTCACCGATACTGGGGGGACGGGGGGGGGGAACAGCGTGTCATCAACAGATATCAGACACAGAGGGACTGAAAGGGAGGCTGAGCACAAGCGCGGGGTGCGCAGTGAGCACACATGGGGAGCAGAGTCAGAGGCAGCAGGTGCAAAGTAACACGCCAGCTGGCTAAATGTGCATAAAGTTAATTACTGCATTGATAGAACGAAACCCACAGCTGATGCTCGCTCATCAAATATATTGCCGCAAAATTATTGAATTCTGAACTATCACCATAACCACAAAGAATGTACTGTGCATTCTAATTTCTAGACGCATTGAACAAAAATTTTCATCTGGGTGAATCTGATTCACTCACGAAGTGAAGACGGGCAGGAACCACTTGAGCTTGGAGTCGCCGAATACCTGGCAGAAGTTGCCGTAGCGCGTCATACTGAAGCCGCGCTTATCGGGCCCCGAGTAGAAGATCGGAGGCCGGAATGTCTCTGCGAGGTTACGGGTCAAAGGTCAGCGCAGGCCATCCAAAAATATTCGAAACAATCAGACAGAACATTGAACTCAAGAGGAAATCTCAGTTTCAACCAATGGCAAAAAGTACAAGCACACGAGATTCAAGCGAATCGTAGAAAGATGAGTTGGCGAACCAGTTGTAAAGTTGCAAGTATCACTTAACATAAGAACAAAAAGAAATGAAAATTGGTACGCAACAGAAGATTTACTGAAGAAGCAAATTGAAATTCATAACGATGTTAAAATAAGCATAACTCGAAAATCGAAAATAAGCATAGCTCGAAAGACGCAGCCATATTGACTTTTCACTTACAAAGGCAGAATATATCAAGACAACGACAAAACACTATTAGCATGCATAACCTAACATAAGACTAAAAAGGAACTCAGCTCGGAAACGGAAGAAACTCGTCGTCTGTTTGCCAACATACCAAGAGTCGACTGATTTCTGATGACCAGATAGCAGTGATAGCTGAAGAGAGAGATCAGGCTGATGCCGAACATGGTCGACACGAAGAAGAGGAAGAGAATGTGGAACCGCGCCATCCCCTCAAGGCCGTCCTGCGGACCAGCGAGGAGTCAGTGACTGGGACGTAAAAATACATGACGCAGCGTTTAAAAACAAATGTAACAACACAAGGGCGTAACTAATGACGTGAATCAGATGCAGCAAGTAGACATAGGTATCAAGCGACAGGCACCGGTGGGGAAATAGCTTACCCTCCAGAAACCGATGAAATACTGAAGTGATGTGAGCGCAATGAACACACAATATGCGAACGCGTAGCCCAGAAACAGCACGAAGAACTTGTAGTTCGAAAATCCGATGCAGTTGTTCACCTGTTGAAATTAGAAAAACGGGTATCAGTAAGATGCATTACGATGGGGCTGTCTAGAGAACAAGAAAACGCTAATGAAAGAAGTAAGGCTCCACTACGATTTTTTTAGTCTGAAACGACAGCTTTCAACAGCGGAGGCCGCCTAGCGGTTCTCACCTACGGACATTGGGTACCAGAAGAGCGGCAGATCGCCGGTCAACTCACCCAGGGACAGTGATGGTCCATTTTGAGCACACGCTGCAGACAGAGCTGCAGACAGAGCAGTGTTACCCACCATTCCCAGAGGAAGCAGTGGGTACCTATTATTCCCGTATTACTCACCCAGGGACAGTGGTGGTCCATTTTGAGCACGCATTCGCTGCAGACGGAACAGTGGTGGCACCGGTCCGGCTTGATCAGACGGCACTTTTCACAGTAACGCACCGCTGCCGACGGGAGAGACACACAGGTCACGGCGAGTGTACAGCGGGGCAAGGAACGGCATACACTGCATCACGGCAGCCTGATACATGGAGTAAAGCAGACGTTGAAGATGTTGAAAACACTCAGGACCGCACAGGAGTGAATGAATTGTGTACTGTCAGGCACCCGAAAACATCGGGAACATAATATCGATACTGACCTAAACTTGACACATCCCGACTTCCAATCATGAAGCACACGGGTCATTTACTGGCCTCAGCCAGTCATTTGCCGACCTCTGACGATTATAAAGAAACCTCTGTAGACCAGATACTGACCTCCGCCGGTCATGGTCCGGTTGTAGACGGGCAGGTGCTGCTCGACGGCGTGCCGCTCCAGGAGCTGACCCTGCGCTCGCCGGTTCTCGATGGCATCAAACTGAGCCTGGTCCGCGTCACTCAGCCGAAACTGCCGGTAACGACTCATGTAAATACACATACACGTGAGGTAAGTGGGGTAAAATCATGCGTGAAAGGAAGAGGGACGAGGGGGTAGATGAGAGACAGCAAATAGTGTGACTCAAGGTCTTCCGAGGTCCGATGCTGGATGGTTCCCGCTCCAAAGTGCAAGTCAATGCCGTTCGGAGTCAGCATGACAGGGAAAATAAACGGATTGGTGCCAGGCTACAACGGAACAACCTGATCTCTCCGGATACCTCACAAAGACTCGGATGGAACACGAAGTAACTCGGTAGTTCGTGAGTATCGTGCCGTACATTTTTGTTCTGCGGTAGGGGTGGGGAAACGGTGGGCACCGCACGAGAAACACGGCCAACGGACACTAACGGCCGTAACGCAGGCGCCCATAGAGCCGACTTTCCTCAATCAGACGGGGATGAAGAGAGGCTACTGTGGTGATAAATGACGTCCTTCGGGTGGCAGCGAGACGTTATGAACAGTATCAGCGTAAGGTATCAGTGAAATTATCTGTGATACTGTATCCGCGCACGGTATTATGAGATTATCCGTGATATTGCATGATATCGTGTGAGACAGCACGGGCTGTGTTACTGTATGCCTCCAAGCATTGCGATTTGGGTACGTCCGATGGAATTGTATATCCCAGATCCGGCTTCGCAGCGGTTATACGTAATCGGAACGTATAAATATTTGAATGTGGACACCGGATAATGGATATTCCAGCCGACCCTGCAAATAGCAGCGCACAGCCCAGTGGCGGCAAGGACCACGAATCGCATTGCGACAATCTGATGAAAATTCTGAAAGCTTTTCAAAACTCAGGATCAACAAATACGCATACCAGTACCAAGTGACTCGAGACTCAAACTTCGTGTCCGGCATTTTTACCGCGACTTGCCGGATCGTCGATCGATCAGTCACAGCACCCCCTCCAGCCCCCCCCCCCCCCGTCACTCAGCGACAGTACCGCCGAGACGGCCGCAGGGTCGGTCGCCGACAGTCGGTGGCGGTCATTCCGCTGCTCCGGCCGCCGTGTCGACACGGCCCGGCCGGTCGGCGGCGGTGAGCACGGAACACTGGTCCGGCCACAGGTGCGCGCCCAGCTGGGCCCGCTATAGACACCGGCCTGTACCGGCGGCCGGCGGCAGCCCACAGAACCGGCGACCGGCGACCGGCGCAGTCTGTACCGGACCGGTACAACGAGCAGACGGGTCAGACTTAGAGGGCATAGTCGGAGCCGTTCTTTCCCAGGGAAGGAATAACAAACTCAGTCAAATGCTGCAAAGGAATCAATGTCCAACCCGACTCAGCTAAATAAGCTAACAAGGTAAATAATGCCGTATACGCCAGCAAAAATAAAGGGTTGAGCTGGGACATTTCGCTATTGATGCAGAGGGCAAACCATGCGCGCTGCAGGAGAGCAGGAGCAGGATCGCTCCAGCTGCAGGGTCGGGATCGCCTACTGCAGGAGCGGCCCCAGCCAGGAGCGTGACCGGCGCCTCCCGTCCCCGCCGCCGCCCCCGCGGGCCGACCGTTCGGTAGAAATCTGTCACGGTTCTGTACGGGAAAACGGCGCCCCTTCACGGCCAGCGCGTTACGCAAGGCCGGCGCCGTCCGACACGCCACGCGAGCGACAGTCAGGCACGCCACCGACCTGCCCTTACGGTCACAAAGAACATCTTTGGCTGAGTTCGACCAGAGATCCCGCATTACGGCTATGTCCACGTCCAGTGCTCGGTGCTTGCCTCCGCCGACCTATGAGCTGTTGCGATTCTGCTCATCCCACAGGGAAACCCCAGTTCGCCGTCATTCTCGCGATAGCGTATACAGAGTTCAGCAGTGCGCACGATGACGTTACAAGATCGCGGTCGGCCGTCCGGAAGTGACATCACGACCTCGAGCGGCGCGCTGAGTCAGCGGCCGCCGCGGGTCTCCCGCCGAGAGGAGGGGCAGGCCGTGAGGCACACCCCCGCGGAGGAACGGACTGCCGCCGCTCCCCGGCCGGCCGGCAGCCGTCGAACCGGGTCACTGGAGGGGTGACGGGTCCGCGGTGGGATGTGTTGGCGTCTGCCAGTCCGTCGGTGGATGGTGGCAGGAAGCTCAGATAGCAGATGCCTCCTCGACACTTCAGTGCTGTAATCCACTGCAGCACTCGGAGCGATTGTAGCCTCCGTTCATGATTTTTCGCGCCGTAGTTCAGTAGACGAAACTGCCCGTTGATGACATACGGGTTCGAGTCACTTCGGTGCTCGATATGTGAAAATCCTGACAGGGTGGTCTGTGGCTGGTGAGAACAGCCATGTGCAATCATGCGTGACGTGACGAACCGTACTGGCTACGTAGCCTCGATAAGCCTCAGTTTCTAGATTCTCTCGAAAACTGAAATTCACCGACGGTACGGAACTCTTGCATGTGAGACTAGTTCACCTCACAGAACGAGCTGGCTCCACGAGTCCGTTCATTTAAAGCATTCGACTTCGAAAGCAAATATTTGGGTATTCATTACATATAGAAAGTTGAACTGTGAAAGATGAGTTATACCGAATGGAATGAATTTTTATCTGTTTGATCAATAAAAAGCTTAGCTCAACAGGCTTAGGAGGCTAGGAGAGGAGAGCCATCTCAGCTTCGGTGATAAGTTAGTAATATATCGTGATAATGTCCGGCGAATATCGGAAAAAAAAAATATTGGTGCACGGTTGAACGCTGGCATAACGAAAAACTACAAAATCTCAACGAAGCTTAACAGTTACCGACGGCGACCGCTGCGACTAACGACTTAGCGAAAGAAATCGTAAAAATTACCGGCAGAGACTACGAAACTTAACGACAGAGACCATAAAACTTGTTTGTCATAGACGATAGCATGCATTCCGATGCGGATGTATCGGGGATGCACTGACCAGTTAGGGAGCCGAATCGCGTGGAAGGCACTTAAAAAGCAGTGTCCTTGATCCGCTCCTCGAAACGATACACCACATTCTCTAATGAAGCATGCCATCAAATAACATGTTACATAAACATTACATAAACATTAATAATGTCTGATGCCTGACAACGAAATGGCATGTCCAAGTGTATCACTGTGTAGAAAAATGCTGTGTGCAGTACTATCGCTCGGGGAACGTTACGAAACTACCGTACCACGCGGATGTGAATCGCCCTCCTATGGCATTGGCGACGCTTAGGCTTGCTTCCCTCAGACCCAAGTAAGAGCTAGGAGCATGTCTCACCTGTTTGGGGACCCTGGCGATGGGAGTCATCACCGTCTGGTAGTACGCCCAGAGAAACAGTACCAGCACTATGTGGTACAGGATCAGGTAGACAGTCTTCTCTGCATAACTCTCCACTGTGACTGTGGGGTGAAAACACAGACACAGCTGGTGAGAAGGTATTCACTAATAGACATTAGCATGAGCATGGAGCAGAAAAAGCTCAACTATGAGCAGATCATTTATGAAATCATTAACAACATTGAAAAATTGATGGGACTTTGCCTTAGTCTACTGCACAGTGTACAAAAGCATTAACACATTTAATGTCATAGCTGTTTGCTGCAATATCACAACTGTCAAAGCAATTTAAACTGTAATAGTCATAAACAAGCATGAATAAAGCTACCTAATGGGTAGGAGATTAGTTTGCATATCTTCAGATTAAACCAGGAAGAGTAAATTCAACATTCAAATGGGGATGAATAAAAGCATACTCACATATGTTGAGCTCAATGACATAGGCATAATATGACCATCCCACAACACCAAGAATGAAAATGACAGGAATCCACTTGCTGAAGCAGATGCATATGTTGCATGGCTTTCTGACAATATCTACAACATTTGCCATTTCTATATGTGTCATGGCATCCCTGTAAGTATCATTTGTCAATACACACACCACACAAATTCCATGATGACTCCACAAATTTGCAAGAGTTTATTACTTTTTAATTAGATATAGGCATCCCCTTTCACCATAAATGTAAGCCATGCCAGAGTGTCCAATATAAAGGAGTCAGAACTCAGACTAATCAGAGCCTGCAGAAATTCAACCATAAATTGAAATGCTCAGCTCATCATCAGAGATCTTATGCTTCACAATGTTCAAGAATAAAGATACAAAATGGGCAAGGGGTGACAGTAAATTACAGATGAATTGGATCTGAAGCTCTAAACAATCCAGAGGAAGTATTCCTACATAATAATAATAAAAACAATGGAATTGTTCAGTCTAGGGTGACCGGTTTTGCAAGAAGTTTCGAAAAGTTTTGCTCCCCAGGTCTAATCTAACGTATTTGGGGGTGCTGATCACGAATCCGGCGGAAAAAATATAAAATTCGAATTTTTTTTTGACCGCCCCGGCTCTTTGAATATTTTCGGTTTTCTCAATTTTTGCATGTTTTTGAATAATATGATGAATATAATGAAAAAAATATTAACAAGGTATCGCTAAATGCATGTACCAGTCCATTCGGCATACAGCGGCGTCGAAATCGGCACGCCGCCTGCTTCACCGGCCTCGCAGGAAAGCATAAGGCTCGAAAGGTTTGCGTTAGTTACCCGATTCTCTCCATAGATGGCGCTGGCGTAGCCGCCCGCCGGCCGGTCGTTGCCGTGCCGTTCACAGCCCCGGCGGTCACTTGCGACCGTTGTGGTCGTTATGCTACGTCTATCAAAGCACGACAGAAATGTTCACTTCATTTTTATGTTACTTCAGACATATTTTAGACCTAATGTTGAATTGGATAAATGACTATCGTGAATTGGCGAAATAGTGGAGTGCGCTCGGGGGCCATTTACAATAGCGAGGAACGTAGGTGGATTGATCTGAGTAACATATGACACTGCGTTCACTGTTGATATGAAGTTTATTCACACTATGTAGTCGGGTGACATGAGAACAAAGTGACTAACATACCTTGTGTACGACACATGGATGAAGCTAATGCTACTTTTTCATTTTGTTTCGGTAGGCCCGTTTGTTCAGAGCGTAGCCGTCCTGTCGGTCTGCGCCTGTTACAGCTGTGACTGATTCGGTGGTCAGCTTTACAGCCCTTTCGGTGGGTTGGGAATGGCAGGGGACCCCCGTTTTAAGGGGAGTCTGTAGAAAGTCGCGCAACTCATCCTTGCTCATGTGTTGTACACAAGGGGGCTCAATGTCTCGGCCCTCGTCAACCGCTCGCTGCACGTTAACCAGTTCCATATAGTTGTTCGCTTAAACGTTAATTTCCGGCAGCCGGAAGTGCCGAATGGGCTGCTGCTGTGGCGGTGGGGGTGGCAGCTTTGGCGGCGGTCGTGGCGGCGGTGGTGGTGGTGGTGGTGGTGGTGATGGCCGCCGCCGTTTCAGACGCCGCTGCTGCTGTTGTGGCGGCGGCGGCGGTGGCGGCGGCGGCGGCGGTGGTGGTGGTGGCGATGGCCGCCGACTCTGTCGCCGCTGCTTCTGCTGTGGCGGGGGCATGGCATCAGGGCAGATGCAGTCCGCATAATCCAGAGCATTCGTCAAAAAAGGCAGGGACAGGAGCAGCCGCCGTTCCCGCCCCCGCCACAGCAGAAGCAGCGGCGACAGAGGCGGCGGCCATCGCCACCACCACCACCGCCACCGCCGCCGCCACCCCCGCCGCCGCCGCCACAACAGCAGCAGCGGCGTCTGAAACGGCGGCGGCCATCACCACCACCACCACCACCACCACCGCCGCCACGACCGCCGCCAAAGCTGCCACCCCCACCGCCACAGCAGCAGCCCATTCGGCACGTCCGGCTGCCGGAAATTAACGTTTAAGCGAACAACTATATGGAACTGGTTAACGTGCAGCGAGCGGTTGACGAGGGCCGAGACATTGAGCCCCCTTGTGTACGACACATGAGCGAGGATGAGTTGCGCGACTTTCTACAGACTCACCTTAAAACGAGGGTCCCCTGCCATACCCAACCCACCGAAAGGGCTGTAAAGCTGACCACCGAATCAGTCACAGCTGTAACAGGCGCAGATCGACAGGACGGCTACGCTCTGAACAAACGGGCCTACCGAAACAAAATGAAAAAGTAGTTAGCTTCATCCATGTGTCGTACACAAGGTATGTTCTCAAGGTTCAAGGTTTGTTCTCATGTCACCCGACTACATAGTGTGAATAAACTTCATATCAACAGTGAACGCAGTGTCATATGTTACTCAGATCAATCCACCTACGTTCCTCGCTATTATAAATGGCTCCCGAGCGCACTCCACTATTTCGCCAATTCACGATAGTCATTTATCCAATTCAACATTAGGTCTAAAATATGTCTGAAGTAACATAAAAATGAAGTGAACATTTCTGTCGTGCTTTGATAGACGTAGCATAACGACCACGACGGTCGCAAGTGACCGCCGGGGCTGTGAACGGCACGGCAACGACCGGCCGGCGGGCGGCTACGCCAGCGCCATCTATGGAGAGAATCGAGTAACTAACGCAAACCTTCCGAGCCGTATGCTTTCCTGCGAGGCCGGTGAAGCAGGCGGCGTGCCGATTTCGACGCCGCTGTATGCCGAATGGACTGGTACATGCATTTAGCGATACATTGTTAATATTTTTTCATTACATTCATCATATTATTCAAAAACATGCAAAAATTGAGAAAACCGAAAATATTTAAAGAGCCGGGGCGGTCAAAAAAAATTCGAATTTTATATTTTTTCCGCCGGATTCGTGATCAGCACCCCCAAATACGTTAGATGAGACCTGGGGAGCAAAACTTTTCGAAACTTTTTGCAAAACCGGTCACCCTATTGTTCACTTAAGGTTAAGAATTAACATAGATTTCCTTCCAAATCTTCATTTAATAGTTTTTCATAACTTAGCATGAATAGATGAATGAGTAGCTTTTAACCCAACTGCCATGCTAAGCAATGTTTGTTGTGAATGACCACTCGGAACCATACCCAACCTTGCCAGCATCTGGCTCAATGCACGGTGACTATAAATATCAATGCTAATCTTGATTGAAAATAAATTACTAGGCACCTATCACAGATAGATATCAAAATGGTACAAAAACACAGACCAGGCAATGTGGAGCTCTCTGGCTACAAACTGCAGCAGCTAAGCTACGAGACCAAAACATTAACCTCTGCACAGGCACTACAGGGCCCCAGGTCCCTGAGGACAAACAAATTAGTAGAGAAATGAAATATCGATGTGCTATGCACGAAACAGTTCTTATTTTCTTGGCCCTATTTTGAATACAATTATTAGCATGACGCTTAGGGTTTTGAATTTTGATACTTCTTAAAAAGCTGAAACTCTGCTTGAGGCTCATGACAATGATGAATAATAATAATATAAGAATAACCAGTAACCTCATAATATAAATCAGAAATAGGAGCCAAAAGGTTATATTTAAAGTTATCGAATATTTCGCTCCTGGAGCTTCGTCAGCGATAATTACAGAAAAACTGTAATTATCTGTTAAACTGTTTTTCTGTAATTATCGCTGACGAAGCTCCAGGAGCGAAATATTCGATAACTTTAAATATAACCTTTTGGCTCCTATTTCTGATTTATATTATGAGGTTACTGGTTATTCTTATATTATGCTTAGGGTTTTGATTGCAGTTATATATTAATATTTCAGCTTTAAATTTAGATCATGCAAAAATTCTCGTAAAATTCACCAATGAATGGCATGATTTCAATTTGTCATGACAAAGATTCGTTAGGTTACGGTGTTACCTGACTTAGCTTGGATAACTACCAGCTTGATATTCGGAAAACGAACTTAGAAATATAAATTAAATGATTTCACAAGAAATACAGCTATATGGCTCAGTTGTTGTTGTTGTTGTGGGTTAGGGCGCGTAGCAACTCTATATGGCTCAGCCATTTCAACTTTCACACCACGACAAACGCGCACCAGTCCAATGAAACCCTCCCGTCCGCCCGTCACTCTGCGATCAAAACAACTTTGTGCTGTAAGAACACTTTCAAGGTTGAAGATTTTCGGAGGATCAAAATAGATTCAATATTTAATGACGTCATAAAACTTTCTGTGGTAGGTGTTTTACATGTTTTGTTTTACCATGTTTTGCCAAACTAACATGAAACTTAAATTTCTTTTTAGTTAAATTATATGCTCTTTTTCCTCAAAATGTTGCAATAACTCAAAAATGGTATTAAATTTTGAGCTCATGCCGATCAATTGATCAAGATTTTGCTAGAGTTATCAAGCTGCGACAATTCTGGTGCTCTAAATACAAAATACCCTAAACACCCTTATCGGGATATGCATAGATTATATCTATGGGGATATGGGTATATAGGGCCAGGATACTGTTGGACCTTGTACTCGTACGTGGCTTGCCCGTTCAGTCAAGTGTTTTAACAGTAGGAGCGCGTAGAGCTGTCTTTTTTAAGACAGCTCTATTATCCCTTGGTGGCCGCTCCAAGGCCTTTTAGTGGCGAACTTTAGCGCCGATAGGCAGGCCAGCTAAGGTGGTCGACTTTTCATCTTTCCTCTCACCCACTCTTCGGGAGATTCTTAATCTCCCCCCACCCTCCCGCCTCTCGACTTTCCTCTTTTCGTTGTTAGCCGGGTTTTCCGGGGTCACCGGCCTGCCGGCCCCCTCCGCCCAATTTTTTTATCCTGCCAAGACGCTTTAGTGAATTGCTTACTTACTAAGAGTTAAACGGTTAGAGGTAATACCAATACGTACTTAAACAAAACCAACAAAACATAACGTAGTAAAACAGAAAGCCGAATACATCAACAACATGGACTCTCTCGACCGCGAGCCGGCTCCACCGGGTCACCCATCCGAGGAGCCCGCCGAGCTCCCCCCCTCCCAGGCCATCCCCGAAGGACCGGCGTTCGTCCTTGTGACAAGGGAGGAAGGCAGTTTCCGGCACACGAACCCGTTCTCTCTTCGCCGGTCAATTGACAACTATATAGGGCCAGTTAACTCTCTAAAAGCTCTCAGGAGTGGCGCCCTCCTCATTGAAACAAAAACAGCGACCCAAACACAGCAACTGCTCCGTACCGCCTCCTTCAGAGGCACACCAATCACTGTCACCCTGGCCACCCGACTTAACTCGATCGAGGGATCGGTCCGCTCGGACGCCCTCACGGAGGTCCCTAACCGAGAGCTCCTCGAAGAGCTGCAGTCCCAAGGCGTCGTCCGAGTACAGCGTCTCCGGTCCCGTGACCTCCAAAAACTCGGACCAAACCCGACCATTCGCCTCACGTTCAGCGGCCGCACCCTACCGCAGGCCATCCGATGCGGGTACCTCTCCGTGCCCGTGGACCCCTGGGTCCCGGCCCCGCGCCCCTGCACCAAGTGCTGGGCCTATGGCCACTCAAAGCGCGCCTGCCGTCGACGCCAGCCCATGTGTGGCCGCTGCGGCGGGCCGCACGACGCGGAGAAGTGCAGCGGGCCCGAACAGTGCCCCGGCTGCGGCGGTCCCCACCCGGCGTGGGACCGCCGGTGCCCTATCGCGGAGGACGCCAAGCAGTGGCACCGCGCGGAAGTCAAGAACCGCCGCGCGGAGCACCGGGCCCAAGGCCACGGTCGGCCCAACGGAGCCACGTGGTTCCGGGAGGAGCGGCCCGACGGGCTGCTCCCCGCCCCTCACCCGCCGTCGGACACCGGGTCCCCTCCCACTCGTTCCGCGACCGCCGCCGCCGCCGCCCGCCCGACCGCCGCCGCCGCCGCCGCCCGCCCGACCGCCGCCGCCGCCGTCGCCCGCCCGACCGACACCGCAACCGCCCCTCTCGCCGGGGACGACTGGCCGCCCCTGCCGGCCCCAGGTGCGACCCATAAGGTGGCCTCACCACCGGCACGCTCCGTGCCACCCGCTCCTAAGCGCACTACCGACATGTCCTCACCGGCCGCCCCTCAGGCCTCGCCCTCCGTCCGGTCCGTCACCGACACCGACACCGACACTGACGACCCCGCTCCAAGGCCGTCCCGCCTCTCCAAACACTCGAGCGGCTCCGCGGAGAGCCTCGGCAGCGGCCAGTCAGAGGCCGACACTATCTCCCTACAGCTCGACGAGCTAGACACTACCATAGTCAGCGCCCCCACCCCCTCACCGCCGCCCCACGACACTCCACCGCTCCGCCGGAACAACACCGTTCCCTTGAGCCTGGCCGACCTGGATGTGCTGGAGTCAGCCAGGTCCGGCCCGCTCACTCGGTCCGCTCTAAAGAAACAGTAATATGCCACAACACACGGAGGAATTCCTGCTCCAGTGGAATGCTAACTCTGTAGTATCCCACTGGGCGGAATTCCGTGAATATATAGTTAATAAAAAGCCATTAGTAGCCGCCATCCAAGAGACCCACTTCCTCGACACTGACTCGACTAAATATAACTTTAACCTCTTCGGATATTCTCTTTACTGCAATAACGTAAATGATTCCCCACGCCGAGGCGGTTCGGCTTTGTATGTCTCTAACAACCTTCTACATCATCAAGTTAACTTTGACTCTAACCTAAATTACGTTGCAACCACAATCAAAATTGCACAGCGAGACGTTAATGTAATCTCTCTCTACTTGTCACCTAGTATTAACGTAACGTACCAACAACTGGATCGACTCTTTGGCCAAATCCCCTCCCCTAAATTGATAATAGGTGATTTTAATGCTCACCACACTGCCTGGGGCTGCAACAACATAACACAGCGCGGCACCACACTTTACAACATCATTAACAAACATAATCTCATTTGATCACCAACATTCCACAGAATCATGAACGGAACAAATCAATACTCGGTAATTGATCTTGTGCTGACTTCTCCAGAAATCAGCTTGCTTTTTACCCCAAAAGTGCAAATCGACCAATACTTTAGTGATCATTATCCTATGCATATAACAGTTGAATCCTCTTCAAGGTCAACCATAAATACATACCTCCCGAAATGGAACTTTAACAAAGCGGACTGGACGACATTCCAGGACGACATAGATGAACAACTTGACATTCTTAGCTTCAACGACAATACAAACAATAACGTAAATGACAACGATACAGTAAACATAGAAAGTTTCCTTCAGATAATAGGCGAAGCAGCTGAACGTTCTGTCCCATTGACAAAGCAAAGACAGGGTTACAAACACGCCCCGTGGTGGACGGAAAACTGTCAAAAAGCAGTCGCGAGGCGCCGCAGAGCCCTACGGAAATGTAGGGCCTGCCCCTGTGTTGCTCATGAAATTCAGCTCAGGAACGAAATCAGGAACGCAAAAGAAGTCATCAACGCAGCAAAAAAAGAGTCTTGGGAAAGCTTTTCGAACAAATTCAACCGTTTCACACCCATTACTAAGGGCCTGTTCCAGCGCCTCCAGAAGAAATTCTTGACTGGAGGCTCTACCAGAGGTTTTACTGGAGGCGCTGGAACGCAATCTGGATATTTCTGGAGATTGGCGTCATAGATACCAAAAGAATGACGATTGGTCTCTCTTGAAACGCAAAATTTGTTTTCAATTTTAGTTAAAAAGATAAATAAAATTATAGCAATGTAATTTTCTTTACATTCAAGTTGTAAAATAATCAGTCAAATGTCCTTTGTTTACATTCGTGACTGTCACATGTGCACCATAATTGTAGACCAGAGCCTCCAGAGAAATTTAGACCTCTCAACTCTCTGGAGGCTACTGGAGGTTTCTGGAGCTTTGGCGAGAGCTTTCTGGAGCTTTCTGGAGGCGCTGGAACGCTCTCTGGAGGATTCTAGAGCTTTCTGGAGCTTTCTGGAGGTTTCTGGAGGCGCTGGAACAGGCCCTAAAGTCTGGGAACATCTTAGATGTTTCCGCATCAATAAACCAAAGATATATAAAATTCCGTCACTGATTATACAAAACACACTCACAACAGACCCACAAGCAGTTGCCACACAATTTGCAGCCCATTATGCAAACATATCCTCAAACAACAACTACTCAGGCACTCTACACAACAACCTCAGCACCACCCTATCAACACTCACGTTCCAATCCGACAACACAGAACATTACAATCACCTATTCACCCTATATGAACTACAACATGCAATCGTAAAGTGTGGGAATACTTCGGTAGGCCCGGACAAACTGCCCTACATGTTCTTCAGAAAACTAACCCCCTTTGGCCTTGAACACTTTCTCAAGGTCATCAACCAGCTATGGGTTGAAGGCCACTTTCCGGACTCCTGGAGAGAAAGTATAATCATCCCCATTCTCAAAAAAGACAAACATAGCACCGATCCAGCTAGTTACAGACCAATTTCATTGTCGAGCTGTGCCTCTAAAATCGTCGAGAGAATGGTCAACAATCGAATCAGAGTGTACCTAGAATCACAACACAAGCTCTCACAACACCAAAACGGATTTCGACCAGCACGCTCCACAGCTGACAACTTGATACACATTATTGACACGAGTCGATACAACAGGGGTTTTTCCATAATAAAGTTACAGCTGCACTCTTCCTCGATCTGAAAGCAGCCTTCGACAAAGTACATCACAAAGCTATACTTATAAAAACACATAACATGGGAATACGCGGACGAATGGCCAATTTCATAAGTAATTTTCTTAATAACCGCACTTTCAAGGTCAGAGTAGGCAACACCTACTCAACCCTACATAACCTCGATCACGGCGTCCCTCAGGGAAGTCCTCTCTCCCCGACGCTCTTCCTTATATATATAAATGACATCTTTGACAATATACACAATGTAACACATAACGTACACTATTCCATGTACGCGGACGATTTGGCGGTCTGGACGTCGCACCACAATGTGAATGCGGCATACCAAAAACTTCAAACGGTACTAAACCACGTAAACAAATGGTGTGACAAGTGGGGAATGCAAATTGCTCCCCACAAGTCAGCCTCACTAACCTTTTCCAAACAACGCAGACACCCC